TAACAAAGGCTGAAGACTATTTTTCTTCTCATACGAATAATGATTTTGTCACACGTCCCCTGGATAGGAGCATGGAATTTCTGCACTAAGGAGTTATTCATAGTATGCATGGTAGAGGTTAACACAGTGAGGGAGTTAAAGCATGCATGGCATCGGCATAAGGCTATCCTAGCTATAGGATAAGGCCAGGGACCAATGAAAGTATTTAGAAAATTGGGCAGAATGGTTCTTATCTTCCGTCACATTATTTATTTATATATAAAAAAAAAAATATATAAATAAATATATATATATATATATATATATATATATATATATATATATATATATATATATATATATATATATATATACATATATATAATCAATGGGAGCTTGGCACTCTCCTTACCAGAATTCTGGGTGCAAATCCTCATGCTTCCAAAATATAGAAAAAATCCAGGATGTACTTACAGGTCTTTCAATGGTATGATGTGATTTATTAAGTAAAGATTACATACAGCAAAAAAAAAAAATCGATGTTCCAACCCTGCAGGGTCGAAACTAATTTTTTGCTGTATGTAATCTTTATGTAATAAATCGCATTGTACCATTGAAAGACCTGTGAGTACATCCTGGATTTTATATATATATATATATATAGTGTGTATGTATATTATAAATAACCTCTGCACAAATCTCAGTGATATTTTTCTTGCGTTGTATTTAATTAAGCCTCTGGACTTTATCCATTCTGGGATGTGTTTTTAGTGGAAATATGGCTTTTCAATATAAATACGATAAAACATATGTTAGAGCGGGGAGGAGTTTGATGGAAGGGGAGGGGGGCTGGTATGTTGTAGTGGCTGGAAAGGGCTAAATTGGAAAGATAGGGGAAAAAATAAGCAGTGAAAGTGAATACGAAGAGGAGCGGCTTAAAAGCCAAAGTGAAATGGGAACATGCATGGGAGATGGGGGTATATTCTTATCTTATATTATACCCCTACTGCTCAGTTTATCAATCGTATTCCTGGATAGAATGAAAGGCAATTAAGAAGGCTTTTGCTGAGAGTAGTTGGAGTTGTAGTCCAACCGATGGAGAACCACGGGTTACTCCTCCACTTGTGTAAGGTCACATTCATTAATTTTGCAAATGTAGGGAGATCTTTCCTCCCCTTCCTGACGAATACCATTGCAGTGTGTTGTGGATCCCGCCTGCGCATAGACTGAACTGTGATCTTAATTAGAACTTTGACAAGCCCACTTCGATAAAATGATGAGATTATGTGTAATTGGTGTCACAGTCAATTACCATTTAGCTCATCATGAGCCTGCTAACAGGTCTAGCCTTGGTTGTGGCCTCAGGATGTTGATGAGTGTCTGCCCTCCTCATGCTGTTACTGTGACAGGAGGGCTGAATTTCACTCAACATCCTAATGACCTCTTTTGAAGTCTATTAAATTAATGACCTAGCCACACTGCTCTGCCCTCCTTATCACGGCCCCAGTATGGTTTCAGAACATTGCATACAACTTATATAGAGGAGTTATTATTAATGTGTTTCTTCTTCTTTAACAGACACAATCCAGATTTGGACAAATGTGTCTGAATAGCAGTGCCCTATTTTAAGGAAGACCTATTATGAGTGATGGTTTTTCTTGCAAGAAGAAAATCTGAAATAGATCTTTCCAAACTTGTAGCCAACTGGCCGACTCTCTAGTGAGATTATGTACAACACCATTCTGTCCTACATAACCGTGTGCGTGGGAAGGGTATGTCATCAATGCATTCTCAACCCAGAATAACACTTTCAGCTTAGATATGTCAGAGTATTGATGTAATTACCTGAAACACTCCAATGGGAAAAATAAAATATATAAATATATTCTTAAAACTATTTTAATAGATATACACCCCCTCTTCCCCAATGAAAGCATGCATTTCATTATGCATTTTTTTTATTTTATTTTTACTGGGTTATATCTAACAGCAGCTTGCTAAAGCTCCCAGCCCACGCTCTCTGTGACTGTCCAATCACAGACTTCCCAATGCAGCTCAATGAGAAGACTTTGCAAGGCAGGTGCTCTGGGCAATTGCTGCCTCTTGAGTTTCGCTCCACTGAGCTAACCACACCAGGAAGTAACAGGACCTGATGTCTGACAGCCAGAGGGTGTAACAAGGATAATTTTATAAAGTGAATCTGCACTTTTTGTAAAATAAAAACATGATACACTCTTCACACATAAGACATTTCAGCAGCTAAAGTGGTGTAGGGGTCTGGCGTGTCCATTTAAGCTTCTTAAAGGGACAGTCTATGAACCAAAATAGCTTTATCTGTATGCAGTGATTTTTGGCAACCTTTTATTTGAAAGCCATGCAGTTTACATTTCCAATCTCCATGCCTCTTGTGACATTAGGGGTTCCAGACTAAAATAGACTTGATTGTATGTTCAGTCCTTCTCATAGAAAAGCATTGGATTTCCAGACAGTGGTTAAAGCAGAAAATACACCATATGTCCACAGTGCTTCTCTGTAAGAATAGTCATCAAATGTGTAACGTCACAGTAAGAGGATGAGGCTACAGTGAAGTCTGTCTCCGAATTGCAGAACATAAACAATCTCATTAATAGAAATAATAGGGTTGGGGTAGAAATGTTTCAGTAGAGTATTCCTTTAATGATACACTATTTAATTTATATATATATTCTAATTGAAATGGTTATGGTGCCTGGAGTTCTCACACCATCCCTGCCCCCACTGGAAGTATGCCTAAGATACAGATTATACTCCATCATAGCCTATACCAATTCATACCTGCAATGGGCAGTTACGGCAGGCTGAGAGCAGTCAGCTGACACTCTTACCTTACGGCTGTTGCCAATCACTACTCCGGCTATTACAGATGCGTTACCCCAAATGGCCCAGGTTGCTGGTGTCCAGAGACCCTTATTCCGTACTAAACTGTTTGCACACAGAATAGGGGTTCTCGGTACTAGAATTACCAGAACAACTACAGCTTAATGTAGTAGTTCTGAAATCTATAGCCCGTCTCTGTAGGCTCTACAATGTAAAATCTTTTGCTTTCCTGCCCATTAACCCCCCTCGTGGCTGTCACTTGGACAGCCAATAGATGACCTAGGTTCAGCAACTCCCCATAGAGATGCATTGATTCCATGCATCATTATCAGGAGATGGTGATTGGCGAATCATGGCATCTTGCTGCACATATGTAACAGCCTTCCAGAGTTTACCTATGGGAAAGCATTACATTGGCTGAGATCATCAAGCCTGATCATCTCATCCTTGGAGATGGGACCAGCACACGGAGGGGGCCAGACAACTAAATAGCTCGTTTGTATTCCTAAAGCTTGAGTGTTTCTTTAAAATGTGTTTATAGTGACTATCTTGTTCCTTTAATACAGCACCGGAACATGCATGAGTCACTCTCCCATGCTGCAGCTCTCTTTACCCCTTACCCCCACCCCCTTTATGAAGAGGCTCATAATTAATGTGACTCTCTAATATCAGGCAGACCATAACGTGCATGTCTCTGAGCAGTATTTACATTTAGGGCAGCCTTACAGTACTGTCTCACTGTGCATTATATTTTTACACATAGGCCTATATCTCTGTCACAATTTAAGTATCGTGTGTGTGTGTGGGATGGAGGGGTGTTTTATGTTAGCGTAGTGACTGGGTGATCTGTCAGGTGTGCAGACTTTGGCTTTCAGCTTCCATGAACCAGATTAGGTAGAATGTCGGGGAAGGCGACGTCCCACAATGTCTGGAAGAGCCAATGTTGATAAGATGCAGAGTATTCTGTAGCTTAACTATCTTGTCCACTCTGGGCTTATTAGTAGATCGATATTGTGTTTCACTGTCTTATTAATGTTTTTTTATGGTTTCCCTTTTCTTACAGTGACAGAATTAAATGCCCAACACTATGGTGTGTTTATAAAATGACTACATTAAGATATCCAATACTTACTCGTGGTGAATTCTTAAAACTAAAATGTTTAACATACAAATTAATTTAAGAAATGAAAGCTGAGAGAACTTATACCTAATTTTTCATTGTAGGTTCCCAAAGGCCATGTTTGGTTAGAAGGTGACAACCTGCAGAACTCCTCTGATTCCAGAACCTATGGCCCAGTTCCTTATGCCCTAATAAGGGGTCGGATTTTTGTGCGGGTAAATATAAAAGCATGGCGTTAGTATTTACTTTTGGTGATGCAGTTATATTGTGACCCCGTAAAATAGAGAACAGGACAGCTTAACCTTTTGAATGCCAACTATAAAACTTTCACGTGGTTCTCAAAGAGGACTTTCAAAGAACACTCCAATCATTATACCCACCACAGCCCACTTCCTGGACTGCCCTGGTGCCATCCCATGGTAAGTAGTTGTCTGTTTTAGTACAGCTTGACAGTGTGGTCCCCAGGGCGCAACCATCGCATCCGGTCTTCTGTAGGAGAAGCTAAGTCAGAGTAAAGACTGGCCAGTTCAGGTGACCCTCTCAGCTGATGAGTGTGGTCTTGAATGGCCCCAAAACAATTCTCCTAAACGAGACCGGAAGCATTGGATGCCTGTCAGGAAGCAGGTAAGTCGTCAAACCGTGCTAAAATAGTCTTACCACTTATAGCACAGCATGCTGCCACCATTGCTTTCAGAATTGAGTGACTTTAGTAAATAGGTGTATAAAAATCTTTTTTCACAATGAACCACCTCACAGGCAATGCAGGGCTTAGCTCATTGGCTGAGAGTGATCAACTGACACTCTACCAATGAGCTGGCCTCTCACTGCAGTAGTTTAGCTCAGGAGAGCAAACTGAAGCTCCTAATCCTCTTCCTGCTCTCAGACCAGAAGGGAAAGGGAGGACCACTCAGTAGAACCCAGGTAAGAAGCGAAACAGAAAAAATGACTACATTGTAGTGGAAGCTGATTAGGAGTCTCCTGAGCTCATCAGTTGATCACTTTCAGCCAATGAGCCAAGTCCTGCATCGTCAGTGAGCTTTTTAATTTGTATTTGATAATTGTAATGACTTGAGACGTTATCCTGGTTTTGTTTTTTTTCTCCCCCTATTGCAGATTTGGCCTTTCAGCTCTTTCGGTGTGTTGCAGGATAGTCCGACTGGCCGCATATTGCAAGATGATTGACACTATTTTCTAATAATATTTTAATGTCTTATACGTATTTATAAAATCTTAGGTTTACAATAAATTCTTTTTTTTCTTATGAAAAGTATTTTCTTTTCTTTGTACTCTTAAAGCAGTGATGGTATGAAAATTTCTTTAGCATATCTTGGCCTTTAATAAAAATACATTTACACTCCTCTTGTCCAGAATGTTATCCCACCTCCCTCCATCAACTACTTCTAGAATTAACCCAAAGCTCTAATTGTACCATTCTTAGTACCATTCTTCCAGGCTGAGCTGTCTTTGCTGTAGAAAGGAGAAAAACAGTAAAAATAAAAAGCTTTTAATGTTGTGGAATCCAGTAATAAGTTAGTTTATTTGTTTATTCTCAACCATTCTCCAGAAGGATTTCTATAATCAGTGAACATGAATCGCAGTTTACCAATAAGGTTTGTTCAATATCGTTTTGCGGAAGTACATATCGTCCTCCGCAGCGGCATGGGAATGAATAAAGGTCTTCATCTAAAAAAAAAAAAAGTAATATGCCATCAATACACATACCCACCCTGAATTCTAAGATGCAAAAGTAACTCAAAAGAGAATATGCAGGACAACTCCAAGGAATCAACAGAGAACGGGATAGTTCCCACATCAAGCCTTAAACACATCATTTATGTGATTGGTAACCTGTCAAATTTGTAAGCCAGGGTGTTCCCACCCACAAGGACAGTACAGCAACAAACAATTGTTTGTCATTTGTCCTAGAGGTATAGCGGAGACTGCTCTAGACACAAAGACCTACAACGTACCTCGGTGGACATTTAAACTGCCCCTTAGCCATTAAAAAGGACTACAAAAACTGGTTAAAAGTCCAATGTTTTGCATGCTAGTTGATGTGTGTAAATTACCAGGAAATTCAATTAAGTTTCAAACTCTGAATTAGTCTTGATTTCCCTATAATAAACAAACACTTAGAAACTTTACTAAATAACCGTGGCTGTACATCTCAAACTAATTAATATGCACAGTGGGTACTTTGGTACCTGTTCTATTTTAGGCTATTTTTAAAGTTTTTAATGAACAAACACTTTTAAGAGAAAACAAAAAAAGTTAAAAAAAAAAGGTCTGGAGTCTTCAGAAAATATGCTTACGAAAGAACGCCAAAGCAGGAGGGAATGTGTGTTATTCACACATCTTCCACTCTTATTGCAATGAATACCTAATGAAACTATAGACAGACAATCTAATGCTGGTAGCACAGCTTACATACATACCTTCATTCCAAGACATATCTTCTAAGTGAATTTGCGTGTCTACAGCCCAGGATCTGCTTATTTCACATTCTAAAAGGAATCAGACAATTTAAAACAGAAGGGTTTATACACATTTCGAGAGTAGCAGAAAAGTCAACTTTGCACTTAAACAATGAGACTTGCGCATGTTATAGTGAACCATATTTAAGAACAATGGTTTCCTTATTTTAGTTAATGCTTTGACATGCCTGAAGTACTTTGTAACCACAAATTATATTGTGCCTAATTTTATTCCTTCAAACATATCTTTTAACAGTAAATTTCTATTGGCAGGGTTGAAATTAACATTTCACACTACTTGCACCATCTGTACCCACTGAATAGAAATCTAATCTAAAGACAAAGTGGGATCGTTGGAGCACCAATTAAAGCAGCAGGACACATCATACGATGTATTATCGTACTCCAAAATTCCAATTCCCCACTCAAACACTGGTTTTGATTTACAAAGTGATCCCACCACTCCATGCGTAAGGCAGCTTAAAGTGAACGTGTAATGTACACTGGTAGCGTAATAATAACGGTTTTGTTCATATCATGTCCACAACGGAGATAAACGGGAGTCTTTGAATCGTGGAAATCCTAAAATAGCAAGTACTTTTGGGTCAGTATGGTTTGGCTTACTCAGCACCAAAAACCACTGTATCTTAAACGAACACTAACATAAAGCACTTCAGCAAGCAACAGATTTGTTTCAAGAGTGTTTTTAAATATTTTTATTATTTTACAATAAGTGCAGATTTCAATAGAAATTGGCACTTCTATAAATTAACCCTGTTACACCCCCCCTCCCCCATCCCCCCAGCTGTCCAGAAAAAAACAGTCCTGTTACTTCCTGGTTTGATTAGCTCCGTGAAGCTAAACTCAAATTGCTCAGAGCACCTGCATTGTAAAGACTTCTCATTGAGCTGCATTGGGAAGTCTGTGATTGGACGGCCCCGAAAGTAAAGATCTGCAGCTTGTGCAACTATTTGCATGTACTCAACCTCAACTTATTGTTTTTATTAGGGTACATCTATTAACCCCTTAGTGACAAGGAAGTTTTTCAATTTTCTTACCAGGGACCAGGGCTGTTTTTACATTTCTGCGGTGTTTGTGTTTAACTGTAATTTTCCTCTTACTCATTTACTGTACCCACACACATTATATACAGTTTTTCTCGCCATTAAATGGTCTTTCTAAAGATACCACTATTTTAATCATATAATTTACAATAAAAAAAAATATAAAATATGATGAAAAATTTTAAAACTTTGACCCCCGAAATCTGTTGCGCATCTACAACCACCAAAAAACACCAGTGCTAAATAGTTTATACATTTTGCCCTGAGTTTAGAAATATCCACTGTTAACATTGCAAGTTATAGGACTATAAGTACAAGTAGGACTGTTTCAAAATATATATTTTTAAAATTTATCAGTAGTGACATTGTAACACTTAGTCACAAACACTGGCCAGAGTTAGCATTTATATTTGTTTGTGTGTTAAAAATACAAAAAACAGCCCTCGAATCAGCCAAGACCCGTTCTGAGCACGCCGCTCACACTGTAAGTCCCTATAAAACGGCTGACTTGTAGAAGAGGGATATGACACGTTAATATACAACGACTTGTGTTATAAATCCCAGTTAATTTGGTTTCTATTTAAGTTTTCATAGGGAACCAGCCCATGGCAGCTGCACGTTTCAGGGGCGCACGTAATTGCCTATTCTTAATGCCCTACTTAATCCTGTTACGCGACCAACTGAGGCCTTTACAACCCCATACCCACTAGGGCTACGTAAGCCCCTTAGGTTGTCTGGCAAATGCAGCACTAATGTCTCAACATGTATGTCTCTCGATATTACCTTTCGTTTTCTACTTTTATTTCACTTCATTTTCAAATGTTGCGGCTGCTTAAAGGACCACTATAGTGCCCTGAGGGTGCCCCCACCCTCAGGGTCCCCCTCCCGCCCGGCTCTGGAAAGGGGTTAAAACTTACCTTTTTCCAGCGCTGGGCAGGGAGCTCTCCTCCCTGTCGGATGAATGCGCACGCGCGGCAAGAGCTGCGCGCGCATTCAGCCGGTCACATAGGAAAGCATTCATAATGCTTTCCTATGGACGCTTGCGTGCTCTCACTGTGAAAATCACAGTGAGAAGCACGCAAGCGCCTGTCATTGAGACAGCCACTAGAGGCTTTGGGGGAAGGATTAACCCATTTATAAACATAGCAGTTTCTCTGAAACTGCTATGTTTATGAAAAAATGGGTTAACCCTAGCTAGACCTGGCACCCAGACCACTTCATTAAGCTGAAGTGGTCTGGGTGCTTAGAGTGGTCCTTTAAACACAAGACTCAACCTCACAGGATAAAATATCGCACCATAGTCTAAATTTATCTTGGGGGGCCTAGCCGTGTGCGCTGACACTGATACCAGATCTTGTAACACAACCTGTTTAAAAAGTACAAAATGGGTGCAGTTCATCGAGACAACTTGTGTATAAACTCCTAGCCTGTATACAGAAATGTTGCCTCTTTTATATATGTCAATGTACCTCATGATTTGTCGACATGCACCTACCAAATAAATCTAAATATAAAATATGAACGCTAACTTTGGCCAGTGTTTGTGACTAAGTGGCTACTAAAAAAAGACTGAACATACCCCATTTGCAATACCTTGGGTTGTCTTATTTAGCAAATGGTATGCCATCATGGGGGTAATTCTCATTCCTGGACTACCATACGCTCTCAAAGGCAACATAACCAACCTGGCAATTTACAATGTGAAAAAACTGAAAATCAAGCCGTATATGACCCTGTAACTTTCAAAAACACTAAAACCTGTACATGGGGGGTACTGTTATACTCAGGAGACTTTACTGAACACAAATATTAGTGTTTCTAAACAGTAAAATGTATCACAACAATAATATCAGTGAAAGTGCAGTTTGTGTGTGAAAAAAATGCAATAAAGTCACTTTCACTGACGATATCATCGCTGTGATATTTTTAACTGTTTTGAAACCCTAATATTTGTGTTCAGCAAAGTCTACCAAGTAAGACAGTACCCCCCATGTACAGGTTTTAGTGTTTTTGAAAGTTACAGGGTCATATACGTCTTGATTTTTTTGTTTTTTCACATGCCCCAGTGAACTGGTCTGTGTTCGGGGGAATTCCTCTGAACATTGACCTGCTTTCTAGCACATGCTTGTTACCGTTTTCCCACAGATAAGACATCCCCCCAAAAAAGGCCATAGTGAGTTTTTCGGGGGACAAATTAATATAAGGCCTTCTTTTCGGGGAAAGAATGTCATACATTGGCTGAGAGTGATCAGCTGATCCAAGGGGATTGGCACATGGCTTCTGCAGAAGAAGAGTACCAAGTTAAAACACCATGTAAAATTAAGTTCCCAATCCTGAAGAGATACTCCACCCACAAAAAAAGAAACAAAAAAAAACACAATCCACATCCATTACAATAGGATGAACAGCAGTGCAATATTCACTTCGCAAAAACTTTATCGCCTCAATGAAATTAAAAACACAATTATCACAAAAAGACAGTAGTAAAACAGGCTGAAAACCAGAGCCAGATCTAGGTTACAAAAACCAACGTTTTTGGCACACACAAGTGCCTTTCTCAAAGGAAAATAGCATAACCCACTTTGCCCGTGTCTCAATATATATCCTAGGAAAACAGAACAAGGGGTAGAGTCAGCGCTAGTCAGGAAGGCAGCAGTCCCAAACAGGGAATCCCTCTAATGTCCCTGGGAATCAGATAGTAAAAACAGAAAAAGTGGGGGGATGGGTCTGCGCCAATGTGCACAATAAATAGTATTATTAAGTCCAGTGGGATCTATTCTGTCGCATCCAAGGGTCTACTTCAGCGATATCCAAGAGGTGTTGATGGTGTGAAGAATAATCCAAATATGTAAAAATAGAAGAGATCTTACTTACAATTGGCAGAGCTTAACCCAGCTCTGGTGTGAATGGCTTACAGCGGTATTATCCCCGCTTGTAGGATATGCGGCAAGTGTCCTCTTCTTTGTAGTGGCAGGTAACCAAGTTTGAAAATAAAAGTAGAGACAATAATGGTGCAGTATGTTCCACACGTATGGAAAAAATTATAAAATATAGTAGATACACTCACATTCGGTAGAGCTTAGACTAGCTCTAGTTGATTTGGCGTACAGCGGTATTATCCCCGCTTATGGGATATAAGGATGAGTGATCTTGACTTGGACCTCAGGAGCTCGGAGAGAAGATAAAACAGCGATAGTGCTCTCAATAAAATTTAGGTGAATGAATAAAATAATAAAATATACTCACAATATATAGGGCAGGCTAACTGCTCTATGTAACAGCGTGGGTGGTATAATCCCCACCTAGGATTCTTTGGAGTAAAGTATCCAGAAAATAAAAAATTAAAAAAATAATAAAATGGATAAAACGTATTAGTTAAAAGAAAGGAAAAATGCTATATAAAAGGCCAGGTAATAAAAAACAAAAGATGATGGTTTTAACATAAAAATAACCAAAATCTTTATTATTGACAGTATATAAAACAGTAATAAATATCCAAACACGTTTCGCCAATATGAGGCTTTATCCGAGCTCCTGAGGTCCAAGTCAAGATCACTCACCTTATATCCCATAAGCGGGGATAATACCGCTGTACGCCAAATCAACTAGAGCTAGTTAAAGCTCTACCGAATGTGAGTGTATCTACTATATTTTATAATTTTTACCATACGTGTGGAATATACTGCACCATTATTGTCTCTACTTTTATTTTTCAACTTGGTTACCTGCCACCACAAAGAAGAGGACACTTGCCGCATATCCTGAAAGCGGGGATAATACCGCTGTAAGCCATTCACACCAGAGCTGGGTTAAGCTCTGCCAATTGTAAGTAAGATCTTCTATTTTTTACATATTTGGATTATTCTTCACACCATCAAACATCTCTTGGATATTACTGAAGTAGACCCTTGGATGCGACAGAATAGATTCTACTGGACTTAATAATACTATTTATTGTGCACATTGGCGCAGACCCATCCCCCCACTTTTTCTGTTTTTATATATCCTAGGAAGTAGTTTATGGCCATCAGACATCAATCCCAAACGAGCCAGGATGTGACATTGTCACATCCAAACTCCCAAGGTTATACTAATCTCAAAAAATATCAGTTGGCATTGGCTATAAAAACTTTACAACAATACACCATGTCTCCCAAGAGCCTTAATGGTCCCCCGTTACTGGTCCAAGGCCACTACTACTGCCCACAAGAATGCCAAACATTCTCTATCTGAGCCAAGCCAGCATTGCAGGGTTTACCTGATTGGCAGAGAGTGATGATCTGATACTTGCAGTCAATGAGCTGGTCCTGCATTGCAGAGTTTAGCTCAGGAGTGATAATGGAAGCTCCCAATCAGGAGCTACCGGTTCTCCTGGCTGCTGATAGCATGTGGGGACTCCCTGCACATCTACAGGTATGAGGAGGAGAGAGGAACTTACTCGTGATCTCTCTTCCCTCTAATTTTGTTAGACTGTATAAGAGCTATGCAGGGTGTTGCAGCCAGCACTTGAAGTACTTCCTACATGCTGCCTGAGTTGGGTTAGGGCGTGTGGGCAGATTTCTACAATGTCTACAGAACTTTGAATTGCCGGTGCCCCACTCTATTTAAAGCAGTTCACGACGGCATTGGCACAACCACTATTATTAAAAATATTGACATTTGTAAACCCAGTTAGAAACCCATGTGTGCTTCTACCCCTTGCTGCACAAGTCTCCTTGTAAGATGATGCACCTCTTATTTTACATTCTCAGCCTATAACCTCAGGGTAATACAAGTGGAAGGAGCTGATCGTGGGGACATTGGATAATTTTTTTGCCAATGGAATATTTATTAAAGTTGCAGACCTAGCAGAGAAAACATAAAATAAAACCACACTGCATAAAGGCCACAAGCTATACACCGTCTGGTTTACTGCTTGAATTAAGCCAATTTATGAATGGGGAGGGGGGAATGTGGGGGCCAAGGCGGTTTTCAAAATGTTAGAGAGAAACCTCAACAGGTAATATAAATTGTTTAATGGACATAAATAAAACACTTTCTTCTTATTCATTCACATAACTGTTCCACATTCTGGACTTTATTTTACCTGCATAATGATTAGAAATTCCTTTGTTTAAGATGGATTTAAGCCAGATTCTTAATTTATGTTCCTTTTTCCTATATAATGGTATACTGCTATGATCTACAATTCTGGTGTCCGTAAGTCAAATAATGGGTACTTCACTATGAATAATAACCATAGGCAAATTAAACACCTTATTTAACTGCCCTTAAGTACTGGTGAAAAATGTAATTAACACTTTAAAAAAAAAAAATTATTTTATTTTTTACATGCTATTCATTAATTAACAGCATATTATGCTGCATGAAATTGGGACGGTATTTTATATCTTGCTTTTTATGCTCTGCCACATTTTTACCTTAAGTCTAAACTCGGGATCTCCTGGGAACGAGGTATCTAATGCAAGTCTGATTAATATAATTAAAGTAGATCAGCAAGCTTAAAAAAATGGCAGGATCAATAAAGTCATTCTTAATGGGTCCTAAACACCTACAGTACATTAAATATGTAGTGATTAGGAAAAATGGAACTTGTTCTCACACCCATTGTTTAAAAAAAAAAAAAGCTTGTGTAAAATAGTAACAGCTGACTACCTTCACAAATGAAAGGTGAAATATATTAATCAACCTTCTCACAAACCTACATTTTTTTCGGCTAAGAACAGAAAAATGGTGTAGGGATTCAAGTTATAAATATATTCTAAGATACAACTATTCCAGAATAACACGTAAGTTCTAATGTATGGTATTAGTAATTTTGCACAGCACTAATCTGGTCTGCTCTTTTTTTCCCTCCCAAGGACACAGTAGGCACCATAACCACTTTAGCTGATTACAGTGGTTATGGTGCCTGGAGTCCATGGGTACCAGGTCCTGCATAACCACTAACTAGCTGGCTCACCATTTAGCAGGGGTGGTCAGATCCTCGAAGCTTGCTGCCTGGCCACTAATAATAAAATGATTTGCATTTATAAAGCACCAGCATATTCGTAATAAACAGACCAATAAAAAAACTGAAAGATCAAGTTACTGAAACTTTTTTATTTATTTATTTTTTTTATACATAGTACTAAGCTTACAATCTATAGCAGGGTTGCTCTTGACCTCCAGATGTTGCTGAACTGCAACTCCTAGGATTCTGTGAATGAAATAACCTGAGAATTGTCGGAGTTGTAGTTCAGCAACCTTTGGAGGGCCAGAGTTTGTAGAACCCTGTTGAGAGGTTAAAATGGGAAGTTGGGACACAAGGTAGCAGGGGGAATTTGGAGGTGATGGTCAAGGAAAATTTGGTTGACAAATATTTCAACGGTATACAACAAATTATTTTGTATACATCAGAATATATGTACATGGAATATTGGTGAAATACATTCACAGAAAATAACGAAATTCAGCATATACAGATAATGGCTGTGATAAACGACAGGTGCGAGTGGTAACATTGTTATAGCAAAATAATAATAATAATATGGTAAGAAAGGCAGAATTAAATACTTCAGTCAGTATCAGAGCTGCAGGAGGTAATGAAGGGGTTCTGTTTCCGATAGCTGGTTTGAGGAAAGAGACCTAAACGTTGCAGGGTGGAGGAGGAGCTATGATCCATTTCACGCCATACTGGGGTAGCGGTCCGTGATGGGATGAGAGCATCTCCCCAATCGACACAACGTGAACTGATTAAACAATGTGTCAGATACAGACCGATCTATTATTCAGATGGTGTCAGGAGGACTGTAGTAAAAGGGCAGCATCAGCACATGTTTAAACGCATCCACACTCTCAAAAGATATGAGAGAACCTAAACAAGTCACCTAGCAATTGTATAGCATGCAAACACTGTATCAGAAAGAACTACACATTGGGCAATACTAATAAATAATATGAAAGGAGACTAGAACGGTAAGCTCCTTGCGCCATAGTGCAAGACAACAATTATAAGTGGTTATGGTGGTTCTAGATTAAAAGGGACACTCGAAGCACAGGATGACAGAATAGAGCCAATAATGGGAAACCTGAATAATTTTGCTATGAATCAATGTGCGCAAACCCCCGATTTATATCAAACTATTCTGGAATGATTTGACCGGAGTTCGCCGCGAACAGCTCGCGGCGAACCGTTCACTTAAAGTTTGCGGACGGTTCGCGACATCTCTATACATATTATGACATTTATCGACCATGGGTTGCACTGCCAATATATTGCAGCCGACGTATTTGAGTGGACTCTGGGTGCTGTCCAGGAAGTAGGAGGGTCTGGGAGGGAGGGTCTGCTGGAGATTGGCCGGGATGTGTCAGCTGACCGGAGTTAGAACCGTTCGCGAGAAGTTCGCGGACGGTTCGCGACATCTCTAAATATGTATACCCAGCCAGCAGAACCTGAGACAGTATAATGAAAAACTATTACAGTTCTTTAGAGGTGGCGGGGCCCACCGCAAAGGTCAAAGATAAGCTGCACACCAGCTTGCAAGCGGAGCAAAGTCAATCTGAAGTCAGGGGTACCAGAAGAATGACAAAACTAATAACAGTACTGATAGTAGAATAGTCAATACAAGCCAAGGATCAAAATACCAAGAACAACTAAATTATAATAAACTCCCTCTCAGGCTAAACCACAAGCGAGCATATTAATGCGTGAAGGAAGTTCATAAAGTGATGGGTAAATCCATACACAATGACATCATCTCTGCTGAGCGAGAAGGTGTGAGTAATGGGACATTTTCTAGGCTTCCATGGCATCTTCTGGGCATCACCTTACATTACCAGTGTCATAACAGGGCACCGGATGGCGATGTACAGCTAGGCATCATGAACAATGATGACATGCAGCAGGAGCAAGTACTGTGACAATAAGGAAGGAAGTGCTGGAGATCACATGTTTTGAAAAGCCACCAAGAGGACATGTTCACAGACCAGTTTACAATTTCACAAACCTTCAGACTCTTGGTACTCCTAGAGTTACATCAAAAATGATACACAAATTCATGATTACACTGGCTTCCTCATTGTAAAGTATTTTCAGTTTCACTGTAGCCTATACAGATTAATTTGAAGGGTTCTAATTAAGCTCTGATGTAGCGCCTTCAAAATGGTAGTCTAGAAGGCACCAGAAGTGTAGACTCTGACCTTACAATCCGCTGGCTCTGCGTGGCATGAAGGGAATAGAGGGATTTTGATGCTTGCTTGTCTGGGCTGTAGGATCAAATCCTGGAAGGCTCATTGGCCCCAGAGTTCAAAGACACTTAACACAATTCCTTCACTTTAAATAAGAACATTGAATGACCATGTGTGCCCGGGCTCAGCATTAGTCAGCACCATTTACTGCTAGTCTTTCAATGTAAATACTGCAAATCAACTACATCTAGGGCTTATTCTGCATGCTGAGAACTATATTATAGGAATGTTACATTTTATGACGGTTTAAGTCACAACCTATAGTTTTGCTTTATACTCCAGGTTGATTTCTCCATTTTAAAGCAGGATTATGATTTGAAATTAATATTTTTCTTTCAATATTTTATATGAATCCCTGCTGACCTTTTTAAAGTTCCTGTCGTGAGTATATATATTTAGCTGCTTGAACTAGCGTCAAATTATGTATACATGTGTAAATAATACATGTGTTGTTACCGTTTTATTAAATATGTATCTACGTGGATTGCAATTTCTTATCCTACAATTGCCAAAAATGGAGTCCTAACAAGCAGAGGGCATGGGTACGCCTGGGATAGGAGTGTATCAGCTAGTAACATAGTGCAGGAAAAAAAAATAAAAAGAGGGCTAATGACATTCAGAACTATTCAGTACTAAAAGGAACACTTTAAATACCATGCCACTTCATCTTAGTTACGTGGTTTTGGTGCATCGATACTGTCCAAACAAAACATGCCTCTAGTGGCAGTCAGTCTGAAACATGCCTCTAGTGGCAGTCAGCCTGAAACATGCCTCTAGTGGCAGTCAGCCTGAAACATGCCTCTAGTGGCAGTCAGCCTGAAACATGCCTCTAGTCTAGTGGCAGTCAGCCTGAAACATGCCTCTAGTGGCAGTCAGTGAAACATGCCTCTAGTGGCAGTCAGCCTGAAACATGCCTCTAGTGGCAGTCAGCCTGAAACATGCCTCTAGTGGCAGTCAGCCTGAAACATGCCTCTAGTGGCAGTCAGCCTGAAACATGCCTCTAGTGGCAGTCAGTCTGAAACATGCCTCTAGTGGCAGTCAGTCTGAAACATGCCTCTAGTGGCAGTCAGTCTGAAACATGCCTCTAGTGGCAGTCAGTCTGAAACATGCCTCTGGTGGCAGTCAGTCTGAAACATGCCTCTGGTGGCAGTCAGCCTGAAACATGCCTCTGGTGGCAGTCAGCCTGAAACATGCCTCTGGTGGCAGTCAGCCTGAAACATGCCTCTAGTGGCAGTCAGTCTGAAACATGCCTCTAGTGGCAGTCAGTCTGAAACATACCTCTAGTGGCAGTCAGTCTGAAACATGCCTCTAGTGGCAGTCAGTCTGAAACATGCCTCTAGTGGCGGTCATAACAAAGTGCCTTTAGTATCTATCAAAGATCACGGTCACCAGGTTATGTGTCATTACGCACAGTATAAGCTGTCGAATGTGTCCACTGCTTCTCTTAAAAGTACTGGATTTAATGCATCTCTATGAGCTAGGCTCGGCTAGGTCACTGCTGTGCATGTCCTCGGTGTTTATCTATGAGAAAGTTTGTATTGGGCTAAATTCATCAAAAATGGCGACATATCACAGGTGAAGCAGCTGCACCAAAGAGACTTAAAGGGTTTAATGATTAAAAAAAAAACTTTTTTTGAAAATAAAAAAAGGAGTGGTGCAGTAATCTAAACACAGTAAGGAACATTAACACTACAAATAAATATGTTTCTTTTTTACATTAGAGTAATCCTTTAAAATTATTAGTTCATTGTAGTCGGCTAAGATTATGGACATACACTGAGCAGATACACCAGAGACGCAGAGGCTAACCAAAGACATCTTTGATACTACTGGAAGAATATCTGGAAGAAAGAAGAATCTCATAACACCGAGGCTACTGGACCTGAAAGCAGACCACTGTATGCTGCCAGAACAGGAACCAGTCACCATCACAGTCGAAGATATCCAACAGAGAGCTGCACACATGAAGAGTTGCTCACCCCTAGGATTAATTAAGCTACTGGATGCTACTAGCCGGTTCGTTTGTGCTGCTAGGCTTTCATGTAGCGCTGTTAACTTCTTTATTATAGGCATCCATGCTGGCTAACACAAGGCAGAACTATACTGATCATGAAGGACCCTCACAAGGGAAGAACATGTAAGGCTCAAAGATCCAAGGGCATATATGAGGCAATACTCAGTAGGGGATTGGAAAGAACTCCAGAGGATCAAAACACCAACTACTGGTAGACCAAGCTGTCACAGGGGAGTCTAAGACCAGACAGACCAATCTGCGCACGGCCTGGATTCACTACAAGAAAGCCTTTAACACAATCATCTGAGGAAAGGGATTTAGGGGTGATTATTTCTGATGACTTAAATGTAGGCAGACAATGTAATAGAGCAGCAGGAAATGCTAGCAGAATGCTTGGTTGTATAGGGAGAGGTATTAGCAGTAGAAAGAGGGAAGTGCTCATACCATTGTACAGAACACTGGTGAGACCTCACTTGGAGTATTGTACACAGTACTGGAGACCGTATCTTCAGAAGGATATTGATACCTTAGAGAGGGTTCAGAGAAGGGCTACTAAACTGGTTCATGGATTGCAGGATAAAACTTACAAGGAAAGGTTAAAGGAACCTAACATGTATAGCTTGGAGGAAAGACGAGACAGGGGGGATATGATAGAAACATTTAAATACATAAAGGGAATCAACACAGTAAAGGAGGAGACTATATTTAAAAGAAGAAAAACTACCACAACAAGAGGACATAGTCTTAAATTAGAGGGACAAAGGTTTAAAAATAATATCAGGAAGTATTAATTTACTGAGAGGGTAGTGGATGCATGGAATAGCCTTCCAGCTGAAGTGGTAGAGGTTAACACAGTAAAGGAGTTTAAGCATGCTTGGGATAGGAATAAGGCTATCCTAACAATAAGATAAGGCCAGGGACTAATGAAAGTATTTAGCAAAATTGGGCAGACTAGATGGGCCGAATGGTTCTTATCTGCCGTCACATTCTATGTTTCTATGTTAATGCTCTTACATATATAGTGCCAACCACATTCAGTGTGCCAATATTACACGGTGGGATGTTATGCCTATGTCTCATTTTAGAATATGTAAATAAAGTGTAAAAAGTTTTCCATAGAACGATCGGGACAAAGAATGCCCTTGGTGGAGCAAGTCTACTACACACTAAACTTCGGAAGATCAAGCAATAATACCCATTCTCTGAGCAGCGGCACTTGGTATTAAATATAGTGAGAAAAATAGGATCTCTTTTCCCAACTTATTCCCCCACGGCTCAGCTCCTGCAGCCCAGTTGCTGAAGGCCTCACCCCATTTGTTGTGGTACGGAGCCTGTAATAGAATAAGACGGGATCAACCACTGGTTCTCCCAAGCCCCCACCCATGGGCATTATGTAGCAGTTTCAAAATGAATAAGGGGGAGCCTGTCAGTGGTCTCCTTTGACCTCTCCCCATCCCCACAATTTGGTGGTAGGTATGGGCACAATGATAACCATGGGGGGGGGACCTTTGAGTGGTCCCCACTTACAGGCATCTGGTAGGGGCAAAGTAGAAACAATGGAGAGGAGGAGGGTGGCTGGGAACCACATGCCCACAAGTAAACGTTTCATTTAAAAAAGTGCATGCTTCCAATAAGACCAGGGGATACACGGTATACTTAATGCACTACTGCATGAAAACACTGCCTCCCCACGTGACATAAGGGAGTATCTTCCATAACTTTTTACTAAATAACCAAATGATTAATACCCCTAGCAAGAGTAAAACTGCAACTCCATACCCCTAGCAAGAGTAAAACTGCAACTCCCATGATGCACAGCCAGAGATCCAGTAGTATTTAGACAGGATGAAACCTGATGAACATTCATGTCATTAGAATACGGATTGCCATACTCAAAATATACACTGTGATCAACGTCCAGGTTTTCACAACCAATTGCCCCCAGACAGTACTGGATCATTTTTGATAATCTGGAACGAGAGCATTTGGACTTTAGTGTATAACAGTACATTTATCATCATGGTGGTAGCTTTATAAATTACGTGTGTGGTCCATGGCGCCATCGTGAGGTGTGGTAAAACCATTGCAGAAAAAGGAAGTAATGCAAAAGGTTCACATTACAATAATTTATAAATGTATGAATAAGATCTGCTTCTAAGTAACCCGTGGAAAAGGCAACACGAAACAGAAAAAAAATACAAGCAGACTGATCGTGCTTAAAGCAGTACCAACTCACAGAATCGGATAATTGGGACGATAACACAATAATGGAATTAACCAGCTTTACTGGTCCCAAGTAGCTGAAAGGCCGGCCAGTATAAAAGGTTACTTGAAGGTGCAATCACAGCAGTGTTACACAAACACGCAATCACAGGCAGGCTGAGCAAACGATATAAACTACTGTTTATATATTATTTTTATTTTTTATCTACTTGTAACGTAAAGCCTATTGCTCTGCCTCTGGTATAAAACGGCCTGTGTGTCTCGTAACGTACTAGGAATATTAGCAGCAGGGGAGAGAGACGGGGAGAAAGGAGAGGTTGGTCTGTATAAGAAGCCCAGGAAATCTTGCAAACAATCTAACCCAGGCGTTTTGCTTTTATCAGACACGCTGAAGTCTGATGGTGGCTGTGCATGAAAGATAAGACAGAGTGTGTTACTGCAATGTGCCACTGAGTGTTTTCCCCGATGGCAATCCACTATTATTGACTCCCCCTCCCATTAGCAGAGGAGGGTGGGTATACATTTATTGAGGGTTCTAATGGAAGGCTGAGGGACTCCTACCCGCAGGCCAATGCAGAAAGACAGGCTATCACATCATGTAACAGGAGCCTGTGTGTGACAGATCTGACCTACATTCCCCCTTTCCTTGTTCGCAACAGCCTGTCGCTGTTTTAAGGAGCTATATTTGCGGATGCAAAAATAAATAAAAATGTGCAGGGGAAAGATGCAGATTTAAAGAAATGTGGACAAAGATAAACTCTTCTATAACTGGGGTTTTATACTGAAAATACTAATAATCAGAATAAATATACAAGCCAAGGAGGATTCTATTTGAAATCGCAATGCTCTCGCAGCAAAGACTAGATTGGTACAAATCAAACGCTATTCTGTATGGAACAAGGATTGTCATGAACCAGAATATTATGAAATGGTTGATGAATTGTCAAGCCTTGCTCGGGATTTTAGCATTACAGACCTTATATTATCACTGAACATTCATGTTATTTAGGATCAGTGGAGATCTGCTGAGCTTTTGATAGTAAATAAGTAGTGCAGTTCACACCCATAAAGAGTCTCTAAGCCCGATATTCAGTTGATGGTATGTAAGGTGATCTTTAGAGCCAGGGATGGCAAAATATCAATATCTCCAGCTCTTATGGAACAACATAAATTATGGGGGTCTTATTACTATTAGACCTACTTTCTTCCACCCTTGCTTTAGAGTTTAAATATGTATTTTCCTGAAGATGTTAAAGGAATACTCTAAGCAACCTAATCAATACAGCTCACCACCACCCCTTTTTATTTTTGGCGTGCAGGTACACAAGTACGTGCCTTGCCCCTACAGCAAACGCAAGAGAAATCATATCAACATAATGTAACAAGAGCATTGTGTTTGAGAAACTGTACAATTCCGTGAATATATCCATTAACAAGATATCTTAACTAGCAATATACACATTTTATATTTATGTATATCAAGGGTGTAGCCCCAGAGGAAGAGGGGAGACATTATAAATCGGCTTTTCTAACAGAGTATGACTAACATCTTCTAGGTCAAGAATTGACAGTATATGTGAGGCCAGTAGAGAGTGTGTACATGCAGGGTATTATATACTGGGTGTCTGTTAATGAACAAGCTAAGGTCTATGAAGGTGGTAGTAGCGTATAAGCGTATTGCTCAGTGAATCATAAGAGTAAAACCTACTCGAATAGCCAACACAGTAAATTTACAAAATTGTATGTAGTAAGGATCGTGAACATGATCTTTGGCTACCCAAGGGAGTAAGTTCCCCTGACCAAGAGAGTTTCGGGGGTGTTGCGCATCTCATGTGTTTGCGAGACTAGACCTAGACTGCGCCCAACAGGACCTTAAAATTGGTGGTAAAAATCAACAAAAGAATATTGGAAGAATATTTCAGTAATAGAAATAACAAAAACATAAGCCAGGAGAGTCAGACAGAAGGTAGGAGTCAGTGGAGTCTCTGGTGAGCCTCTTGGTACAAACAGAACCGTTAATGCTAGATCTCATACATGGGTTGTAGGTGATGTAGAGGTGGCAAGTGTTGGGTAAACAAGGAGAGTAGTGTAGGTGCCTCGGTTCCAGAAGTGAGTTTCTGAACAGTTCCAGTCTGTGTGATGAGGAGGGAATTCAGTGTTCCCCATCTGTAGGCCACCCCTGCGGAACATAGCCGACTAGTGAGTAGATTTAGTGATTTTTGACACTGAAGTGTGGCCTTTGTCAAATCTTGGTAAAAGGACAGTTGCAAGTCTTCAAATGACAATGGGATCCTTGAGATGTGGAGCATCGGAGGATGAAATCTCCAGTAATTGGGACAGGTTGACTTGGTTATTGTTGGGAGGCAGTGTAGTCCAGCAATGGTGAATTTTTGGGCCAAAGTCAGTGGTAAGTGGTAATCTGAACAATAAAGAAAGGCTGGGAGTGTGAAGAGTGCCCATTTGGTCTTATTGAATGAGGCTAGGATGTATAAGACTGAGGTAGTCCCTCAGCACCAGGAAGAACCCAGATTTATATCAAGCCTTTCTTAAATGGTATTGATGTTAAATCAGGGGACTTTAAGAAACCGTAAAAAAAGCAAACTTTAAATTTAGGCTAATATTTTTCCCTCGATAGTTGGTGGAAACAAAATGTGCCTTGCAGAGTGGCTTCAAGAATTTTTTTTGTGCTAACACAAAAGTACACAATACATATCAGACTTAAAAGGAACGCTCTGGGCACCATAGCCAGTTCAGTTGGTGTCAATGAAGTTGTTATGGTGCTCAGAGTCCCCACAGGAAGCTGAACGTTCCGACATAACAGTAGGTCCTTCTCATGTTCCTTGTGAAAGTCTTATTGTTAGGTCAAAACATTGTACAGTTTGCTGTGGGGAACTAAAATTCAGAGTACTATTCATGCGTGCTGGACAATTACATTTTCTTTTATTCTATATTAAATGCAGAGCCAGAATCCATTTTTGCACCTTTTAATAGTGAGTACATACTATATATATATATTTATTTATTTTTTTTTATTAGTTGTCCCTTTTTGTATGTCATGTGCCTTCATTGAGAAGAAGTGGTTGTGGTGGCTGGAGTATTTCTTAAACAGTGTACCGCATCCAACATGGTGTTAAATGAATTATAGCAAGGTAGAAGATGGTAGAAGGTAAAGTACAAAATGGACAGCTATAGTACATGACAAGATAACGCACAAAATAGACATGGACGGCTATATAAATTATAGCACACACGCGGACGGCTATATAAATTATAGCACAGACATGGACGGCTATATATAAATTATAGCGCAGACATGGACGGCTATATATAAATTATAGCGCAGACATGGACGGCTATATATAAATTATAGCGCAGACATGGACGGCTATATATAAATTATGGCGCAGACATGGACGGCTATATATAAATTGTGGCGCAGACATGGACGGCCATATAAATTATAGCGCAGACATGGATGGCTATATAAATTATAGCGCAGGCATGGATGGCTATATAAATTATAGCGCATGCATGGACGGCTATATAAATTATAGCGCATGCATGGACGGCTATATAAATTATAGCGCAGGCATGGACGGCTATATAAATTATAGCGCAGACATGGACGGCTATATAAATTATAGCGCAGACATGGATGGCTATATAAATTATAGCGCAGACATGGATGGCTATATAAATTATAGCGCAGACATGGACGGCTATATAAATTATAGCGCAGACATGGACGGCTATATAAATTATAGCGCAGACATGGACGGCTATATAAATTATAGCGCAGACATGGACGGCTATATAAATTATAGCGCAGACATGGACGGCTATATATAAATTATAGCACAGACATGGATAGCAAGATAAAGCACAGTACAGTGGGACCTCGGTTTACGAATTTAATGCGTTCTCCGGGAAATTTCTTATTGCGAAAAAGTTGTAAACCGAAACGCAGTCTCCCATAGGAATGCATTGAAAACCAATTAATCTGTTCTGAGGTCAGAAAAAAGTCAAAATGAGCTGACATGGAAACCAACCCACAATTCAGAACACACAGTAAAAGGAATGCAAACGACAAAGCTCAGCTCCCTACCTTTCCACAGCTTGAGAAATGCACCAAAAAGTCCCAAAACAACTGCAAACAATTTCCAGAATGGCTCCAAAACTCGATGCAAAAGCCGCTCCAACACCTCCACACTTGATGCCACGTGCTACCCACAGGCTCCAGCATGCAGGGGGCGGCGCTATAAACCTCCCAGGTTCAATGCATCCTGGGGAAACTTGCTTCGTATCGCAAAAAAAAATTGTAAACCGAGGCATTAGTTTCAATGAATTTTCATTTGTAAACCGAAAATTATGTTAACCGAGGCGTTTGTAAACCGAGGTCCCACTGCTAGATATAGGCCTGGATGACTAGCTAATGCATGGTATACACATTGACTGCTAGATAGTATTATTATAAATGGTATTTATATAGCGCCAGCATATTCCGTAGCGCTTTACAATAACAATAAATTAGACATATAGAAAAACTTACAGGAACGATAGGTTGAAGAGGGCCCTGCTCAAACGAGCTTACAGTCTCTAGGAGGTGGGGCGTAAAACACAACAGGACAGGAGGTATCAATCAAACAATGTGGAGTGAAGCAGAGCTGGAGGAAAGAAGGAGAGAGCAAGGGACTGGTACGTGAGGTAGAGACCTGGACGGCCGGATATAGACCTGGACGGCAGGATATAGACCTGGACGGCAGGATATAGACCTGGACGGCAGGATATAGACCTGGACAACTAGATAAAGTACGGTACACACATTGATGGCTAGATAAAGACCTGGATGGCTAGATAAAGCACGGCATACATATTGACGGCTAGATAAAGACCTGGAAGTCTAGATTAAACACGGTATACACATAGATGGCCTGATATAGACCTGGACGGCCTGATAAAGTATGGTATACACATGGACGGCTAGATAAAGCACTGCAAAAACAAGGATAGATAGGCAAAGTGTAGCCTTGAACTGGATGGCTAGCTGAACCTGTCTGGAATCCACCTGTTGTGGGTCCTAGTCTACAAGGTGAGGAACCACCTACCTCGCAGATTCAGGTCATATTCTTTCTTTGTCTCTTCATTCCCTAGAATTTTCCATGCCTGATTGATTTCGATGAACCTTTGTGACCCGTTCTCAACATGTTTGTCTGTCACGTCCGTGCCCAGTTTATCTGGGTGGTACTGCCAATGACAAGAAACATAAATAAATAAACAATAATAAAAAATAAAAACACATTGACCAGAGATAACAAAAAAGACTTTTCCATAAATTTAGTAAAGAGATTTAACACAATACCATGTTTATTCTCATAAATGTATATGAATTTACAAAGTTGTACGCCACCAGATGTGTCCCTCAAGGGTTTTCACATAGCCCCTCCTGTGCCTTAAAAAATCCACAGGTTCAAGTGGAGTAAATTAGATTCATGGTATTTGGATGCAAAACATTTTTATTTTTTACTAATAAATGACTTGTATGTTGAAATCACACATATGTGCAGAGTCTGCATGTTCCATGTCCTTAGGGCTAATGAGAACGGGAGATAGTGACCTTCACTGCGTAAAAGGTATTTTCGACAGCCCTGGTTGATAGCCAGTAGTTGTCATTTTGACTCGTCAGCAGAGGTGAAATACAAACTGTGTATCAATCTTTTTCAGCAGATTCATCAACAGATTTCACTACATCAACCTTCCACCATCGCTCCTCTGACTGTTATACATCGTTAATGGCATAAATGGCTCCAGATTAGATTGTTGTAGTTTCAAAAGTGGAGAACATTGATTGAAACACATAAATATGTTCGTGTAGAAACAATCAAATAATTAAACAGTACACTTCTACGCAGTAGCAGACATTTTGGGAGTATGTACTGTAAATCCCACTGTAAATCCCACTGTAAATCCCACTGTAAAGATTCAATATTATTATGATTGTTGATATTTATATAGCGTCAACTTATTCTGCAGTGCTTTACATTGTAACAATAACTCCCTTTCCATTATACACTGTGCTTTAAAACATTGAAATATTTTAAAGCAGGGCTTGACAAATCCCAGAGAGTTTTGCCTTGGCGTCTGAGATGGCAAGTCAGTGTATTGTGAAGGCGGACGGCAAGCAGTGATGGAATAGGAGCAAAGCACGGATATCATTGCGATCTCGCTGCCTGGCATCAATACGCGCAGCCAGCCGCCCACCTCCACAATCCCCCAGCTTGCTGCCCGCCTCCACAATCCCCCAGCTTGCCGCCTCCACAATCCCCCAGCTTGCCGCCCGCCTCCACAATCCCCCAGCTTGCCGCCCGCCCCCACAATCCCCCAGCTTGCCGCCCGCCTCCACAATCCCCCAGCTTGCCGCCCGCCTCCACAATCCCCCAGCTTGCTGCCTGCCTCCACAATCCCCCAGCTTGCTGCCTGCCTCCACAATCCCACAGCTTGCTGCCTGCCTCCACAATCCCACAGCTTTCCACCTACTGGACCCCACAGGGTAAGCCGATTTTATTAAAACAAGCAATAATGTGTCAGTGTATGTGGGTCTGTCTGTCATGGTACGGTGTGTCTGTCTGTCATGGTACGGTGTGTCTGTCTGTCATGGTACGGTGTGTCTGTCTGTCATGGTACGGTGTGTCTGTCTGTCATGGTACGGTGTGTCTGTCTGTCTGTCCATGGAGTGGTGTGTGTGTCTGTCCGTCCGTCCATGGGGTGTCGGGGTGTCTGTCTGTCATGGGGTGTCTGTCTGTCACGGGGTGAGTGTGTGTGTCTGTCACGGGGTGAGTGTGTGTGTCTGTCACGGGGTGAGTGTGTGTGTCTGTCACGGGGTGAGTGTGTGTGTCTGTCATGGTATGTGTGTCTACATTAAGCTATAGTGGTCCTGGTAACTATAGTGTCCCTCTAAGAATTGTGTTTTTGTCGATGAATATAAAGCTTTTTAAGTTGTAAAAAAAACTGGCTCCTAACTTTTTTAGCTGGCTCCTAGATTCAATCAAATTTCTCAAGCCCTGTTTAAAGAATTTATCGAGGACATACACTATTCATAAATATATTTTATATTATATCATTAAAAGTAATTAAATATAAGTGGGTGACACAGGCATACTGGCATAATGTGATTTTAACCATCCAGTCCTCAAGACAACCCAACCAGTCTGGTTTTACGGGACACTTCCTTTAACTACAGGTTGGTATGTCCATCACTCAAACAACAAGCACAGATCAAGAATATTAAAATACTGTGGGAGATAGAGGCACTTGATGCTAGATGCTGCAAAGGTTTGTGAAATACACTCCAGGGCTTCGAAATATAATACATACATTCTGTGTTCCGTTCCGTAATAAATACTAACACATCGCTTTAAAAGACCCATAACTTGTTACACTGTGGGTACCTCCTGTATAAAGATATGGAGAAATGTTCTCGTTGGCTGGTTTAATGATTTACATCCCACTGTTATGTAAAGAGGTCTTGTAGGAGCAGCTAGCCTGGAGCTATATAGCTTTCTTTTGTGAACTCTATGGTTCATCAGTTAACTAATTAGGGAGCATGTTCTGTCAACGCTCACATGCTTTTGTCTATTAATTGATCTTTCTGCCTAGCTAATGCTGCTATGGCACTTCCTCCCAAGCGTACTTTAAACTTTGAGACGCAGCAGAGTTAAAAAAGAAGAATCTAAAATCATGACAGTACGTGTGGATGGTTAAGATTTCACAGATGATGTGCGATTCCCTGAAATTTTCGGAAATTGCTGGCTGCCGCAAAGATTGCTTACAAATTTCATAAACCGTCAACCGAGGGAAATAAGGACTCAAAAGGTCTTTCGTGTAATATTTTCATCACACTGCATGAAGTGTCTATATATGGGTAATAAGAAATCTAAAAATGAAAGTTCTGTTTCAGATGGAAAAAGAGGATTTTTAATTGTAAACTTAAAAATTCAGATACATGGTATTATTTCAAGTGACCAGTCCAGCTAAAAGCAGATCGGCAATTCATGGCTCGTTACCAGTGTTTTCGGTAAATATTTGCCATAAGCTGTTGCTAACTTACCAACAACTTTACAACCCTAACCCCTGCCTTTAACATCTGCTCTCCAGTAATGTCTACTGCAACTAAATATTGGTCACCACATAGTGTTTTTTTTAAATTGTGGGGGAGATTTAAAAATAAAAAGTAAAAAAAAATTAAAAAATGTTTTCATAGCAACTACAGCAGGACAAAGTTCTAATCAGCTATTTCAGTGCCTCAATGCAGAGCAGCGCATTAAAGGAGCACTATAGGGTCAGGAACACAAACAGGTATTCCTGACCCTATAGAGTTAAAACCACCATCTAGCCCCCCAGGTCCTCTCATGCCTCCCTAAATATAGTAAATCTTACTTGTATTCAAGTCTGCAGCTGCATGCTTTGTGCCGGTTTCCTTTAGACCTGCCCACTGCCTGTTGACATCATCAGAAGTGGTGGCCTGATCCAATCACAATGCTTCCCCATAGGATTGGCTGAGAGTGACAAAGAGGCAGATCAGGGGCAGAGCCAGCACAATTTAAACATAGCCCTGGCCAATCAGTATCTTCTCATGGAGATGAATTGAATCAATGTTTCTCTATTAGGAAAGTTCAGTGTCTGCATGCAGAGGGAGGAGACACTGAATGTTTGGATGCATTTTAGGCAGCAATGACCCAGGAAGGATCTTTAACAGCCATCTGAGGAGTGGCCAGTGAAGTTATCACTAGGCTGTAATGTAAACACTGCATTTTCTCTGAAAAGACAGTGTTTACAACAAAAAGCCTGAAGGTAATGATTCTACTCACCAGAACAAATTCAATAGGCTTTAGTTGTTCTGGTGACTATAGTGTCCCTTTAAGAAGCCTACACTCTAACAAACCTCTCAGAGGTGGATATCACCAACAGTGAGTGACCCTAGCCAATCATTTTCAAGGTAGCCAGTTAACATTTTAGCTGAGCGGAGCAGAATGAAACAAGAAAGACGCACAAAAGAATCCAGGCAAGAGCAAAACCATTAAGATCCAGAACCCTAGAGAGATAAAACACCAGGGAGGATATTTGTAGGCGATGGCCACACTGATGAAAATGAAAAATTACGTTTATGATCAACAACAAATTAATTTTTCCTGCAAAACGAAGCATGAACAGATACTGAAATATCTAAACTATAAAATTTAGCAAAAAAAAGTCTATAAGAAGACCAAGTAGCCACTTCGTAAGTCTGCTCCGCAGTTGCCACAAGGCAAAAGGCCCAGGTCATATTCACCTGTCTAGTAGAATGGTTGATAATCCTGTCACACACTGAGCTATTTCTCAATAAAAAAAAAAAACACAAACCAAAACTGTTAAAACAGAAGGTAACTGCCAACGTCCATTTTTCATTCCAGTAAAATGGACAAAACAGGGAATCACACATCCTAAAGGACTTATTAGGTTCCATATAATATGATGATTCTCACCATTATCAAAATGTGGAACAACCTATCCTCATTAATGGCCTGTCTTGGACAAATTAAGAAATCACTATCTCCCCAATGATCAAAGAAATTAGAAAAAAAAAAAAACTTAGGCAAGAATACAAAGGTGGTACAGAGGACTGCCTAAAACTGATGAAGAAAAAAAAAAACTCAGGGGAAGCACAGGTGAAAGGAATCCCTCATAGTCAAAGAAAGAACCTTCCTGGATAAAGCAGTAATCCAGCTACATGAAGTGTTCAGGGTTCCAACCTGGATATTAGATCAGATCGGAATACCATGCCCTACAAGGCCATGCAAGGATTATCAGTGGCAGGGACTTCTGATAGATCTCCCAAATAAATTAATTATACCATTTTAAGCCAACCATTGACATATAATAGTTTTTACATCATGGTAATAAAGCACTCTAAGCACCATTCCACTATAGCCCACTATAGTGGTTACGCAGACTTCTTCTGAGGTCTGCAGGGTGCTGTTCCCTGCCTCTGCTACCATCGCCGGACAGCCAGCTATTTCTAAGCAGGAACTTCATTTGGCTCTCCTGAGCTAAGCCCTGGATGGAGTCACCCCTCAGTATCAGCTGATTGCTCTCAGCCAATGTGCTACCGCTGCACTGCAGGTTACAAGTCAAACAGTTCAAAACTGTTTGACTCCCTACAAAAGAGGGACACTAGGGAACTCTTGGCACCATAACCACCACCAATAGCAGTTACTTTGTCTGATGTTTTTTCAAACAGAGGTTAAAGACAGGGGGTGGGAGCTAACACCATCATGTTTTGTCAATTCCCCTAGCTGTGAGAAATAAGGCATAGGATCCTCCATAGACATCGGAGTACAGCACTGACGTCGGCTTCTTGCAGATGAAGTGCCAGGAGCTATAGAGGATCTCCTGTATGGAGATGGAAGCAGTTTCAAAGGACAGGTTCAGGTAAGTAAAATCTGCAGCCCCAAGGTCACTGCACACCAACGGCAACTTCGCCATCAGGGGTCTTGGCAAAATGTGCAAAGACTCCAGACTCCAGAAGGTGACAACACCACTTTAAGAGCTATTAAAATGTATTTGTAGCATGCAAACACATGCTGCAGCATTGTACAGTAGGCTAAACGCATAATTCAATCAATCTTCCAGCAACGCGTCAAGGTCTCTCTAAACATTGGGTTCCATGAATATAGTTTTATTTACTTCCAAGTTGCTTAACTGGTAGAAGCTAGCCAGCGAGTTGGGTTAATGAAATGTCCTGAAGCCGAGCTTCTAAATCCATACTAAAAGAGTTTCAGTTCGAGGCAACTTAGTGAATTCAGAATTTCTTTAGTAATCTAGATCTCAGAGACTTGTCAGCATCTATGATTTTGGAAACAAAAAGAAAAAAAGAGGAGGGGAGGGTAGAGAAGACACCAAAAATTAAAGACCCCAGGAAAACTGGTGCTAAATTACCAATATCTTAGTTTTCAGATTTCCCACCACACCTTTACAATCACATTAAAACATGGACTTCATCAATGAGTGCTATAATTTGTCTGGCGCAAGCTTAAAAAGCCAAAACACAATTAATACACAAATTATTCTATTGCCTCTCATTTCGCACAGAAGTGAATGGTTGAAGCTTTCTAATTACGCTTTGTCTAATACTAAAGAAAATTAACCCGGTGAGCGACAACCGCAATTAACAGCGCTCTGCCACCTTTTCTAGTATCTAAGAGGTGGAATCCCCATTTACAAGTAAAAGAAGGAATTTAGCATTTGAGCCTCGGGCCGGTGGGGAAGTCAGCTCAGATCAGATGATGGCTACAAACATATAATGTGGGATTAGTGCTGTTTCGCAGGGTTAGGAAATCACTTGTATTAAGTACGAGGCTCGAACACAGATCAGAGATGCAACAATTGAAAATAGAGCCGATTTTTAGATGCGGTGCTACATGAGAGGACTGTAGCATGTTACTGCTGTGAGTTTAGAGAAAAATAGAACTCATAGGGGAAATGTCAAGGTTGGCAAAATACAACACACTACTGCCACCTAATGCAAAGTACAGGGCAGCCTTGGATAAGATGGTTCAGAGAATGAACAGAAATATGCGGATTGCTCTGTCAAATCAGTTAGTCTCTTCCTAATTAAATGATTTCTCGAATTTAGTCTTTATTTAATTCAGATGATAAAATTAGATTTTATTTTGATTTATGTAAGGATTTCAGGGAAAGATTTTCAAACATTTAAGCAGATTTTGTTATATTTTAGAAAAAATAAAAAAGTTACCTGCACTCTTCCCAAATCCCTATGCATATATAAACAAATGGAGGTTATTTAGTTACTCCACTGGCCATGAGAGGGGATGCCCACCTGCCGCATCAAGGCAAACCCCCTCAGGTGGGTCCTACACGGACTATTCAGACTGCTTTCTTGAGCTTCTGGCAAAGATATCTCTAATGAGACAGAGAGGGGTATTTTTATAAACCCCTAAATGCTTATTAACCCTTAACAAGGAAAACATGGGGTGGGTGGCAGCATTGTAACATAGCTGTATGATAAAAAAGTGAATACAAATACAAAAAAAAACAAGTCCTGCGCTCAAACTCCCACTACTCAGTTTAGCAGTTTTTATTTTATTTTCTCAAAAGGTCCTTATCACATACATTAAAGTGACACTATAGTTTCCAAAACAACCTTAGTTTAAAAAAGCAGTTTTGGTGAATAGATTATGTTCCTGCAGTCTCACTGCTTAATTCTCTGCCATTTGTCACAAGGATTCATTGGGTTCACTGGATGGCGATAATTAAAACGTACCTATCTTGTATTATTTTATTAATTTAAAATAAAGGCCTTAAATATTAATAGAGTAAATGAAATATAGTCTAGATAATAGGAATAGCAAACAATAGCAAAATGCATCCCTCAAGTTGTTGCAAAACTTGATGTTCGGCCACAAATAAAGTTTCACCAAATCTATAGAACAGGGGTCGGGTGCCTTTTTATGGCACGCAAGTCTGCCAAACCACTGAGCTCCACCAGGGACTAAGAAGGATTTCTGTTCCCCTCTCTGCACAAGGTAGGCAAGACATAGGGGGGGACAACTTTTGTAAATAAGTTTACAAGCAAACACCTTACACACATAGCACTACAAAGAGTGTCCTCAACACATACCCAGAGCACCACCACAGACAGCCCCTCCATACACACACACACACACAGCCACAGACAGCCCCTCCATACACACACACAGCCACGGATAGCTCCTCCATTCACACAACCACAGACAGCCCCTCCATACACACACAGCCACTTCACCACAGACAGCCCCTCCATACACAATCCACCACAGACAGCCCCTCCATACACACAACCACCGACAGCCCTTCCATACACACACACTGCCACAGACAGCGCCTCCATACACACTCCACCACAGACAGCCCCTCCATTCACAGATAGCCCCTCCATACACACAGCCACACACAGCCCCTCCATACACACTCCACCACAGATAGCCCCTCCATGCACACAGCCACAAACAGCCCCTCAGATAGCCCCTCCATACACACACACCCACAGACAGCTCCTCCATACACACCCACACACATACAGCCCTTCCATACACACTCCAACACAGACAGCCCTTCCATACACACACACACACCATACCAGATAGCTCCTAGCAAACACCCAATCTTACAAGCAATTCTACATGCACACACATCAGAGAGAGCACACATACACAACACCAACAACCACAGAGATGTGCAATTTGATCCTTAATTATTACTTTTTTGGGGTTCAGATGGCCCACCATCATGCTGGGAAGCCCACCTAAAATAGCTTTGCATATATTTGGATTTCAAGAATCTACTTTGCTGCTTTCTCTACACACGGACGATAAAGACTTCTTTAGTTCAGAATAATATTATATTTGGCGCAACCGTCTACCGTGTTAATTAGTGTTTTTTTTATATCGTGCGGGTTTGAGAGGGAACCATACATCCCTAGGTGTGTTGCCTCTAGTCTTGTTTGGTTACCTAGCGCTGATCCCCTGCTTCTCCTCTTTTTCATTTCCTAGCACCAGGCAGTTTATTTGGGAGTTTATCCTCGCAGTGGACAAGCGGCAGGGCTGAAAGAGGGAGGAAAGTGTTTGGGCAGGGACTGTGAGCACTATTCTCAGAAGACTCCCAGCATACACTCTGATTCACTGAGCACTGGTACCGCGAGGAGCAGAATTACGGAGGTCGTGGTCTGAGATTAATGTAAAGAATTATTACAAGCAACCCATATACACACACATTTAATATCACACAGAGTCCACACTACACACAAATACTGCAAGAAACTCACATACACACACTTATCAGTGAAGCACTCAAACAGTCCACATAAATATAAACATTACCACAAACAACACATACACAACTTAAAAAACAGCTTCCGCCACACGCAAAAATAAAACCATGCAAAACATCTTCAGTGGCCATACATAACACAAGCCGAATTCCTCAACATAACTAAACGTTACTCTTTAGAAAAAAAAGTAGCGATGACAACCTAAGGGACTTTAAAGTTTGTATTTGGCACAGCGCTGCCAGGAGGTTGTCCACCCCTGCTATAGACCTATCCACGGATTACAAAAGGGGCCAAACATGGAGAACAGAAGCATGTCACCTTAAATACACATACTGAGAACCACACGGTATACACTACAAAAATGCGTTCCTTGCCTTAGATTTAAAGCTCTGCATTTGCCCCTGGCACAAAGGTTAGCTGTGAATATTCTAGAGCACTGGTGACCAAAAATAGGTCCACAGCTGAAGTAGAAACAAAACATCATGGTACCTGTAGTTTTGCAACAGCTAGAGATCTTTTCTTGGCCAACTCTACATTAGAAAGTGTGTTGTACTCCCATTAAAGCATACACTGAAAGAATCGCAGGCAAAACATAACCTTAATTAAAGGGATTTCAAAATAACCTGAATAACGTAAATTGTGATGGGTGGTAACCCACCATTTTTAGGGGAGTTAGAGGGCGCATATATGCCACAATTTAAATACTTTCAACGAAATAACTGTTGTAATTTCAAAGTACTTCTATTTAAACTTTTTTCGTTCTATTTAAATGTATTCTGTGTAACAATACAGAATGCTTGGGATCACGCAAGCCACCTATCATTTGTGAGAACACGTCAAGTTAGATTTAATAATGGTCTTTAGGAATATGTTGCACATTCTAAAAACGAAAAAAAAAAATGGCATCATTATGTCACTGCATTTGCAAATAAATAATGTTGAAAATATCAGCAAATCAAATAAATTATTTTTTTTTGTAAAAAAGAAACAAAAGCCCTTTTCTCGCTATATTTTAAGGTCCTGTCTACGTAAACAGCAATTTCCATACACACAACAGCTGCAAAATAATTCCAAGATTAATCGTCAATGACCCAAAAATTTGAGCAAACATTAAATGGGTGAATAAAAATTCATAGTGATAGGGTGGAACAATGGGTTTGAATTAGTTTCATACTTTTATTATCTCGACAACAATTGTCTGCGCATTCATTGCAGCAAATGATGTAAATTCATATCCAAATTATAACAACACAGGCACTTCATTTCCATAGATACTTGGATATATGCCATAGACACCCATGGATATTTGTGTCTTCTCTACAACACGTCTTAGAGGCGCATCATATTGCCAGTGAAAGGTTGTTTGTTTAAGAATCTTCTTTATGCAAACAACGCATGTAAGGAAAAGAAGATAAAATTCGGGACTGGTAACGATACTGTTGCAGCTTCATCTTATAAACCTGTCTGTACAGACACACACATGCAAATGTCTGTTTTGGTATATCCACCAGAAGCAGGACCTGGGGCAGAGCGTGTTCCTGCATGGTCAGCATTGTAAATGGTAGCTTTTCCTAGAAAGGCAATGCTTACATTGCTGCCTAAGTCCACCTCTACTGGCTGTCACTTGTATAGCCAACAGAGGGACTTCCTGGGTCCGGACCTGCAATTAATGCAGGACAGATATTAAGCTTTCCAAGCTCTGCATGGAGACGCTTAATGTTGCCCATACAGATGCACTGGATAAAAGCATTTCTATAAAGAGATGCTGATCAGCGCAGTGCAACAATTTGTCGCGCATGCAAACTTGTCTCCTATAGGGAAACATTGGATTGGGTGAGATCATCAAAAATGACATTCTTCGCCATGGGGGACATGCCCAAATTCAAGAAGGCAAGGACTAAAAGGAAAGTAACACTGTTAAAAAAAAAAAAAATCATAACATTATAATGTTCCTTTAATAGCAACTCAGAGAGATGGTTTAAAGTTGGACGATTACCTAAATTAGGGTCTCAGAAAAGTCATGCCTCCTGACATTCTGCCACCTTACACAGATCTGACTGGCACAAAGTAAATACCCAGATAGATAGATATATATAATATAATAACCTGGTACTCCCTTCTAAGCAGACATAAAAGAATTACAATTTCACAGTTAACTTCTTTCCTTTTCTGTAACCCTTCCTCTAAAAGTCCAATAAAGACTGATTAAAAAAATAAAATAAAAAAAAAAATCTGATTTTTGTTCCCTATAGAGTTATCAAATGACAAAATGCTAAATTCTTATCAGAATAATTACAGCAGCATAGGTTATAAGACCTTATGTAAACTAGATAAGACTTGTTTGGCCACCACTAAAATAATTAAGGATATAAAGAAACAAGAAGTACAAAATGGATATAAATATATTTCAGTGAAGGTCAAATCCTAAATATTTTTTGGGTTGAGGTACCAGCTGTTGGTAGCAGGTTGGATCTCTGCTTGGCCATATGTCAGACTATATTGGGTGGCACTATACATAGGTTGTGAGATTGGAGGAAGGTACACATACATAGAAAGGAGAATCACATTTTAAAAAAAAATATTTACCTAGTGAAAAATAACCTGCTAAAACTTCAAATTTGTTGCGTCAGGCAAACACAATCGAATCAATTCATTCACAATTTTTATTTATTTATTTTAAAAAGATGAATTGACCCTATCTGGGAGGCAAGGATATGTAGAATTGTGCCAACATCAATCAAATAAAATTTTGGAAGTGGTACTTGACAGGAATCGGGCAGTGGTCGGGTTCTCATCTAATTATCAGTGGGAAATAAAATATAAAAGCTGATTTGCATATGCCCATTAGACATCCTGGAGTCTATTCTTTCTCCCAATTTTCCACAGATGTCAAGTGTTATATGGGCACGCAGCGGATCAGTTTCATTCATACAGTTCTCCATTGAAGACTTGACGGTTTTAATGATATCACAGACCATTTGCTAGATTGCGAAGGCCCGTGCTGTTGAGGACAGACTGCCATCATTTCTCTTAGGTGTCTGTTTACATAGCCCATACGTGAAATCCTTAAAATAATAACAAATGAGACCTCATAAGGTGATCTGGCTTATTTACCATTAAACTATGGCAGAGCTAGTGGATGCTCATTTTCCAGCTGGGCAGGCAATCAGAGTTGGTGTCCGTAAGATAAAATACATATTAGGAAACAGTGCACTCACAACAAAAATACAGTTTCAAATTTTACAAGGCTGCCCAGTGACTGTATTCCTATTCTGCAGAGGGTTCCCCTGGCACATTATAGCAATCATGATGCAGCACTACTTAGATATGCATGTTCCGGTGTGCCCCCAATTCCTCCCCTTTTTTAGTGTCAACATGATCGTGGCGGACCACTCAGTAAGGGACCTGAGTGTCACCGCCAGGGCTCTCCTGTCCTCTTGAAGTATCCTATTCAGCACAGTAGTCGTGATTTTAGCTCGCAGTAGAGCTGTGTAGAGTATAGCAGTGTTATAGCCTTTTCCCCATAAATTAGTCGAGACTTAATGCTGGGAGAAGACCTGTTTTTATTGTCATCAACATGGTCATTTAGTCACAGATCCCCGGCATGGGGTCCCTATTCAACAGTACAATGATCCTGCCCTGGTGACTGTGCCTGGGAGATAATTGTGTAATCTCTCTCTAAATTAATTATCTCCCGGACACAGAAGTTACAAAACAAAATATCCCCAAAAACATAAATATAACATGCAGAATTGGGGAATCACCACCGGGGTAAAGATGTGACTAGCTGCTAGCAATAGTAGAGACGTACTGGATACGGCACTCACCAAATAACCCAGGTGCTCTGAAGCCAGGGCTGGCTAGTACTCCCTTCTAAGATATGCAAAATAAATAATGGTTCAGGCACTTCGGGATAACAAAAATAGCAGCTTTGTTTCTCACGAGCTCCCGCACAATTCTGGCAATACAAGAGAGCTAAAGCTTTATCTAGCAAGACAAACAGCCCCCACAACAGAGAGCATGCAGTGGAGTGTTATGCAACCGGCTGACGCTGCAACTGACAGTGCGGCCTGGTATGCATCGGGTGGAAGAGACAGCCGCTCTCCCAACCCAGAGGTATCTTGAAGCTGCCTACAACATGAGCAAGCCCGTTACACCTTCCCCCTTTGGACCGGAGGAGGCTACCCCAAGCATGCAGAACTGTTCAATGTTGCCACATGGGCAAAGAGCGCACGCAGAGTTTCACCCAAGATGGAGGACACTGCAAGTGTCGATGCTGCACACGACATCCTGCCAAAATAGAACAAACATTTTGAGATGTTTAGGAGGAAGCTGGAGCACAGACTACATCAACCTGTCCCACTACACATTACTAACCTCTCTGGGCAGAAACCACATGTATACAGTCAGCAACAGTCATGACAGCCGACTAGCACCCACCACTACGCGACCGAGGCCCCAAAAGGTGGCGGAGACTGCAGCAGTGGGCCTTGAAGCGCAAACTATGCAAAGTACCAAACACTCATGGAGCCAACGAAACCTTCAGGATGAAGATCGCCAAATGCCCATGCAGACACGAGTCACGGGGGCTGCTGGTTCTAGTACCTCGACGGCACCTGCTGCGCTATCGATGAATGAGGGCAGCTAGGGGGCCCAAGACGGACCGGACAACAGCAGAGATGCCCAGGTCACTTTAAGAATGCAGGGTACAGACGCAATATACCATCAATCCGACACAAGCAGTCCTATCCTGCTCCTTCACGACTGCCTGCAGTGTCTTGAGGGTGTCCGAAGGGAGCGCATAGCCCATCTCCACACTTCAGCCTGATGTTCCATTGGTCCACATCAGGAAGACCATGCCTGGCAGCTGCTACACCGAAGCATAACTATGATTTGCCCCAGAAGGGAATTGGATAACTAGAATATGTGACTCTTACTGACAGACTCTCATTCCTCCTAACTTCGACTTTTATTTCTGCTTTTCTTTAATTTGATTTGCCAAGGCTAATTTTTTGGTTCTGAGATTGTTACAAATGTTCTAGCCAGGAGATTAATACCTGAAAGGGGGCCTCTTGGGTGTATTGTTACTGCTAATCCCATTGTCAGATGGTTTAACTTGACTCTAACCTATTCACTCCAGGTCTAGCCTAACTCTACTGTTCCCTCCACTAACATAATTACTATCTTGTCTTATAATCTATATTACTCATATCTATTGTAAAGTAATGAAACGTGAGCAGGATATTGATTTGCTGCAGAGGGATTTGGATAGAGTGGGGGACTGGGCACTAAAATGGCAGATGAAATTTAACAGAGAAATGCAAAGTTATGCACTTCGGTGTCAAGAATGCACAAGTAACTTACACCCTAAATGGTAGTGAATTAGGGATAACCACACACGAGAAGGATTTTGGGAATTGTTATAGACAACAAATTAGGCAGCAATATGCAATGTCAATCTGCAGTTGCTAAAGCCAGTAAGGTTTTGTCATGTATCAAAAGGTTTTTTTACAGTAAGAACAATAAGGATATGGAATTCTCTGCCTGAAGAGGTGGTTTTGTCAGAGTCCATTCAGATGTTTAAACTGAAATTGGATAAATACTTACAAAAACATAACATACAGGGATATAATTTCTAATTAGTGGGGTAATAGCTGCTTGATCCAAGGAGACACCTGACTGCTATTTTGGGGTCAAGAAGGAATTTTCCCCTAGTTTGTTGCAAAATTGGAAGCGCTTCAAACTGGTTTTTTTTCCTTCTTTTGGATCAACAGCAAAAACAAATGTGAGGAAGGCTGAACTTGGACACAAGTCTCTTTTCAGCTATGTAACTATGTAACTATGTAGGCATCTAGATAATTCTAGAGCAACTCAATATAACTGACATACTAGCCTAATGAGAAAACGTTGTTTGAATAACTTAGAAACATAGAATGTGACGGCACTATATAAATATTAGTTATTTACTTTACTGAGAGGGTAGTGGATGCATGGAATAGCGTTCCAGATGAAGTGGTAGAGGTTAACACAGTAAAGGAATTTAAGCATGTGTGGGATAGGCATACGGCTATCCTAACTATAAGATAAGGCCAGGGACTAATGAAAGTATTTAGAAAATTGGGCAGACTAGATGGGCTGAATGGTTCTTATCTGCCGTCACATTCTATATTTCTATGTTTGATAAAGACCTGGTAGGGTCAAAACGCTGTTACTTTTGCCCCAATAAAGCTGCTATTTACATTTTTCCGACGTGCCTGAGCCGTTATTTATTCTGCATATCTTGCCGCTAGTAATGTCTCTGTCCAAAAGAGCTCCAGGGTGAATGGGGCTTTGGCCTGTCAAATATCGGGAGCTCCTGTGGACTGAAAAAGGGGCGCTCCCCCTGGTTGTTCATGACAGTACATGGTCTATAGAGCTGGTTGTAAAACGAAGGTAGAAGCTGGCTGGGGGGGGGGTTTGCAATGGCCGAGTCGGAGTTGTAGTTAAGTCCCGCTACAGTCCTCATGGCTCTCTGGACTCCCTGGACGGCCAAGGAAAGGGTTGTTCCTGGTGAATGTACATGCACAGGATGGTGAGGAGTGCCAATGGTTTGGGACAAAGTATCTGGAAGGCACATGGGGTGTATGAGTCACACTGATTATGTCCCTTTTGAGTGAGGTGCGGGGCTTTTCCTTGTTTTGGCACAAGTGACTGGGTGTTCCGTCACAATGCCATAATATGGATTTTAAAGAAAAATTCTAACATCATATTTTTTCTACTATATTAGGCATCCATTCCAATAAAAAAAAAAAAAAAAAAAAAAATTGTTTTTCAAGTGTCCTTCCTTTGTGCATGCGCATTCATCACGTAAGACATGTCCTCCTCTCTGTTCTCTATACTTGTCTGAATGCCATCTCAAGCCTGGATGTTTGTTCTGCCAGATAGTAAAGATGGGTGAAATACCTGAGTGGATGTTGATCTATGCGCTGGTGTCAAACTCCTAAATGTCCCTGCAGAACTGCAAGAGATGAGGAGAGATACAGTTTACAAAAGACACGCTGATGCAGGTTTTCTTCAACCTCTTGCGGCCTCTGCGAAGCACCCGGTTGCCATGGAAACTATACATTTTGTCCTGGTGTTGATGGAGAGCAGAGGAGGCCGGACGGCTGTGGGAGAGCAGAGGAGGCCGGAACGGCTGTGGCAGAGCGGCGAAAGCGAATGAGCTGTAATCTTCTTTTACTGTTTTGCACTCACAAAGTGAAATGCATCTGTGAGCTTCCCAAGGAGTTTGCCACGCTATCAGAAGCTACTTAAAAACAAAACAAAAAAAAAATTCAACAGGAAAAAAACAAAAAAAACACCACAATAATGAGGGAAGCGCACACATACTACTAAACCTACATCACTTCGTTCTAAAGTAGCACAAACAGGTTTTGTGTGAAAATTGAAATTGTGATCAAACCTAAATAACAGTGTGTCTCTGAATAAAGCATTGAGTAACGGCCGACATTCCGTCTATGATAATCACCTCCATGTTCCTATGTTTTCTCTTTCTGTCAATTAATATACAATTCGCCTGTGATTACAAGATTGTTCGATTTGAGCTCCCCGCAGATATAAACCATGCTGGCCAACACAGTTTTATAAAAGCATTATGGGAAAATTAAGTAGATTTGCATGAAATGCCACAAGTGCCTTTCCAGACAGTTCTATCTGACAGAGTTAAATTATAAATCAAAAACAGCCTTAAATGAAAAGACTAGTAAAAAAAAAACGTGACAGGTTGACTTTATAAAACAATTTTCAAGAATTTTAGATTCTAGCCTTCTTGCCTTGGAGCTCAGCACGCTAATGAAATAAAACAGCACAACAGTTAACGAAGCTGAACTGTTAACGCATCCGTTTCTTGTACTGTACCAGTTCCAAAACAAGTTATTAATGTTTAAACAATACTTACATTGGGAAATAAAAGTATGATGAAGAGAAGATGAGGTGCATTGTGGGAAGTATTACTGAATGTAGACTGTAGCTACAAAAATACCATAGATAATTATGAAGAAACTAAAATGCTGGTGCAATGACTCTTTGGGTGCTAGTACCCCATTTTGTTACTCTTCTCTAAGCTTCTGTCCGTTCTCAGAGTTCTTTTATTCTTTGATTCTATTGCAATGCATTAACTTGGCTCTCCCCAAGTTAAAAGGGTAATCAGACATGGACCCCATGCTCACTGTGCCTCGCTGACGAGGCCCAAAGAAGGCCGAAAGAACCGTCTGGGGTTGCTACATTTATCGTATAGAGAACTTGCTGGCATTTTGGTTCTGGACTGCCCTTATGGGTGGGATCAGCCTGATATGTCCTAATGTGTTTTACACCCCACCTCCTCTAGACTGGAAGCTCGTTTGAGAAGGGTCCTCTTCAATCTATCGTTCCTGTAAGTTTTCTTGTAATTGTCCTATTTATAGTTAAATCCCCCCTCTCATAATATTGTAAAGTGCTACAGAATCTGTTGGTGCTATAAAAATGGCAATAAATAATAATAATAATAATAATATGCTTCAGATATCTTCTCTCTGTAATGGCACACGTGAGTAAAAACCATTTTAAAACCTGGGCAGGGATTTACCAAAGAGCAAGCTACTGAGTTTCTCAAAGCTTTTGTCCATTCTCACAGTTCTCATATTCTCTGTTTTTGCTGCAATGCATTAACTTGGCTCTCCCGAAGTTAAAAGGGTAATTCAGACATGGATCCCGTGCTTACTGTGCCTAGATGGCCATCAGCTGCACTTCACTGACGAGGCCCCAAGAAGGCCAAGACGATTAACTGGGGTTGCTGTATCTCTCGTGCAGAGAGAACTTGCTGCCATTTCGGTTCTGGACTGCCCTTATGGGTGAAATCAGTCTGATATGCCTTGGAATAGGTTCTCTATGTAATGGCACAAGTGAGCAAAAACTATTTTCGGTAAATGTTCCTGCCCAACTTACAACAACTTCAACAAAAGAAATGTAAATGTACTTACCAATAAAGCAAGTTTCTGATATTTCTGTTTCAATTCTGCCTGGCTATCTGTGGGGTTGGCACCCAAAATGGCATACCAGTCCTTGTTCAGTGGGTCAGTTTTAGAAGCCATTGTATATATGAAGCATCTTGTCCAGCCTAAAAATGTTTTATAACAAAAAGAACATCAGAATTTTCTTTACGTATTCTGTAGCTAGACTCAGAGAAAGTTCCGACACACTTAGCAAATCCACACCATACCCAGAGATATATTCAATAATTATTTCTAAAGGACCAATGGCTGAATGATTGATGGAACATTCCAAGCAACGTAACTACTATAGTGCACTGTAGTGGTTATGGTGCCAGGTGTACCCTTGCATCCCCTATTATGAAGGAGTTAAGTTGTTTTACAACGGTTTAACTTCTTTACTGGGGTCCAATGGGCGTTGCTCCCTGCCTTCACTACAGTTCAGTGAGAGACAGATGCTCTTTTCACGGAGGCAGTGCAGGGCTTTGCTCATTGGCTGAGAGGCAATTGGCTATCACTCTCATCCATAATACTAACTTAGGAGAGCTAAGAGAAGGCTGAGCAGGAACATCTGGCTCTCACTTAGCTGCACCTAGCAGACCACAAGTAAGAAGCCAAACCCTTCTAACGGGGCTATACATAGGACACGTTAACGGGGCTATACATAGGACACGAGGTCACACGTTTAGGCTGAAAAAAAGGATATTTAATCTAAGGCAAAGAAAAGGTTTGCTTTCAGTAAGAACTTTAAGGAAATGGAATTCTCTGCCTGAAGAGGTAGTATTATCAGAGTCCATACAGATGTTTAAACTGCAATTGGATAAATACTTCCAAAAACACAACATACAGGGATATCATTTCTAATTAGTGGGATAATAGCTGCTTGATCCAAGGAGATATCCTACTGCCATTCTGGGGTCAAGAAGAATTTTTTTTCCTAGTTTGTTGCAAAATTGGAAGCGTCAGATTGGGTTTTTGGCCTTCTTTTGGATCAACAGCAAAAACATATGTGAGGAAGGCTGAACTTGATGGATGAAGTCTCTTTTCAGCTATGTAACTATATGTAAAATGGTCTGACTCCTCAGAATGTTGGGCAACAAGTCACCATAACCACTGCATTCTCTCTCAATGGTGCTTGGGTCAGCCTTGCTGTATGCGCTACCAGCAGCAGCTTTTTAGGCCAGTCCCATTCTCTCACCCTGAGATCAGTGATAACGTTTCATTTATACATAAAACCTGTATATAGGAGACCTAGGCAAGCCCCTCTCTATGAATTCTGCCGGTTGCTGCAAATGATGGTTCTCAATAAAGGCAGCCTGCGTGCTTTACACCGAAACATACAGGCTCCCAGCCAGCGATGTATCTTGGGGAGGCTCAGGAGCTGACCCGAGGTGGGCGGCAGCTTCTATCGCGGCAGGCAGCATGCTCACCTGACCTCTTCCTGCTCAGCTCCCTCATGCGACCCTTAAAGGGACACTATAGTCACCCAGACCACTTCAGCTCAATGAAGTGTTCTGGGTGCAATGTCCCTCAGGTTTTAACCCTTCAGATGCAAACATCTATGCTATGTTTACATTTGGGGTCTTCCTGACAGCCACTAGAGGCGCATCTGCGATGCTGGAGGCATATTATGCCTCCATCAAAAGCATTGAGAAATGCTTTCCTATTGACAGCTTGAATGCGCGCGGCAGAGGGAGCTGACGTCGGCAGGGGAGGAGAGGTCACAAGCGCCGAGGGAGCCCGACGCTGGATTAAGGTAAGCTGCTGAAGGGGTTTTAACCCCTTCAGCACCATGGGAGGGGGACCCGCTATGTTTTCCTGACACTATAGTGATCCTTTAATTAAGCCGGAATATGACACCACTCCAGCTCCCGGCATCACTAAGCGGCGCGCGAGAGAGCTAAGCAGGAAGATTACAGCCCCCTAGCAGCCCCACTGGACTGCAGGTAAGTAATCCACATCTGCTATGCCAGGGAGGCTGGGTGGAATTAAATTAAAATAAAACAAATAAATTAATAATTTGGGAGTGTTGGGGGGAAATGCGTCGGTGAGTGTGTCAAATCAGTGAGTGTTTGCGTGTGTCAGTTTGTCAGTGTATATGAGTGTGTGTCGGTCAATGAGTGTATGCACCCGTCAGTGTGGGTCTGAGTAATAGTGTGTCAAATCAGTGAGTGTGTATGCCATCGTTTGTCAGTATATATGTGAGTGTGTGTGCACGTCTGTCTGTCAGTGTGTGTCTGGCAGAGTGTGTATGTCATTGTTTGTCAGTGTATATGAGAGTGTGTGTCTGTCAGTGAAAGTGTGTAGATTAAACGCTATGTGTGCCAATGACTGTATCTTTTAGTGAGTGTATATCAGTGAATGCATCAGTAAGAAAGTGTCTGTCTGTCACAGTGCAGCCTTGACAGGAAGGGGTGGGGAACATTTAAATACGGGGCAGCACAAATCCAAAATACACCAGCGCTCTCATCACAGAATAAAATTAAACCAATCTTACAGTGAGAAGTGTCATTTTTTTTGTAAACAGAATTGTATTGTTATTTTACAAAGATAATACAGAAAGTTGTAAATAAGCAAAATATGAACTATAGCAAAACCCTCCCAGGGGTGATATTTCTTAAAGAGCTAGCAGCCTTCCTTTTTGGCTCCCCTGCTTTGTAGCCATTGATGGGGGTATATTTCATTTATTATCATTGTAAATCACATCAAGGCCCAGCTAACCACAGCAGGTCCCTCAAACCCCTCACTCCATCCCCACTCCCATCATTAAATCATTAAATCAATCCTACACCAGGAATAAACCCGATCCAAACACACAGCACCCACCGACTGGCACACAGGAATCCCTTCTAGATCCTCCCCATGTGCAGGCAGCAAAAACAAACTACACCTCCCGGCATGCTCTGCGCTGAAACCAGCCCCTTATTCAAAGCGCGCAACTTTATTAGCACTAAAACGATCAAAACAAGTGAGGGTTGGCCAGGAAATGGACGCTGTCACCATGGCAACCTTAAAATCCTGACTCCCTGTACCGGGTCTGCTGTCTGCAAAGTAAGTTAAATACAATATAAGGGGAATAATGAGCCACTGGTTTGCAGGTTAATATTTATCAGCCTTGTAATTAAAGCCAGGGTTAATTCAGCATTACCTGCAGGGCTATTGGTGGCCATTGGTGGATATTGGTGGCCATTGGTGGATATTGGTGGCCGTTGGTGGATATTGGTGGCCGTTGGTGGCTATTGGTGGCCGTTGGTGGCTATTGGTGGCCGTTGGTGGCTATTAGCTATTGGTGGCCATTGGTGGCTATTAGCTATTGGTGGCTATTTAACATTAATTCAGTTTTCACATTTTAACCCCAAATAGCTGATCGAATATCTGCAATTCGGCTGTTTTGCCTTAAAATATGGACAGGAATTATTCGCTAACCATCAGATTTTAATAAATTAAACCGGAGACCAGGCATAGGAAACCTGCGGCACTGCAGATGTTTTGGACTACGCCTCCCTCCCATGATGCTTTGCCAGGGTTATGGGTGTAAGAGCATGACATCTGGAGTGCCGAAGGTTGCCTACCCCTGCCTGAGACTATACCATGAGATCTGGAAAAAATGGACCAAACTGATTATCCCCTTAAGGACACAACTTCTGGAATAAAAGGGAATCATGACAGAATATTTCCGTCATGTGTCCTTAAGGGGTTAAATTCGAAGCCTGGCTTATATTGGCATGAAATTTCATCAAATCAAAATAAGATGTTTACAGGTTTGTTCGCCAAAGTTTGGATTTAAAGTGAATTTGAGATTTAAGGTAAAAGTAGCCGAGCTGGAACATTTGAAATTCACGGTGAATTCTCACTTTATTAAATAACCACGTGTATTGACTCCCCTTACAATTCAATGTAAATTTTAAATGTTCGGCCAGGAATAGCTCAATTGGGGAAATTCTCCAAGTCACTTTTGTTTTCAGTTTGACAGATTTTGCCTTAAATTTGAAATTCACCTTAAATTCCTGACAACTCTCACGTTACAGAATAAGCCTGTTCGTCTGCATTATGCCATTCAGCTTTCGATTCATGACAATACCATAAATAGCCTTAAAGGAACACTATAGTGTCAGGAATACAAACATGTACAAACACAGGCAAGGTGAGTTTACTTACCTTTTTTGCCACACTGGTCTCACTCCGACTGGTCCCACCTCCATGGCTGTGATCATAAATCCTGAAGATCTCAGCCAATCCAATGCTATCTTATAGGAAATCATTGGGAGGCTATTGCGTATGCACGGCAAAACGACATGCTGTATCAATCAACATCTCCTCATAGAGATGCATTGAACCATTGCATCTCTAAGGGGAACATTCAGCACCTACAAGCTGAGCGTGGAGATGCTGAATGCCAGTGCTGCATGCTGTGCAGCACTGGACTTGGAAGCACCTCTAGTAGCAGTCTGAGGTACTACCACTAGAGGTGTTTCTAGCCAGTAATATAAAAACTGCCTTTTTATTCTGAAAAGAGAGAATTTACAGTGCTCAGCCTGCATGGACAGACTATAGACACTCTGGTGGCTATAGTGTCCCTTTAAACAGACTGTACAATGAAGGGAGTATGCATATTAGATTATTCTTTACAGGAAGTGTTTAGAAAGCCTGTGCACGTTACATGCAGGGAGGTGTGACAAGGACTGCATATACTAAGTGATTTAACCAGTGTCGGTACTATGACAGAGAGGGCCCTGATGCAAGAACATTTTTTGGGCTCCCCTCTAGTGCAAGAGTGGCAAAAAGATAGATCCCCAACTGTTGTACAACTCCCACGATTCTATGCCATCTGGGTATCTACCATTTGCCCATCGTTGTAGGTGACTTAGGCAATCGCCTAGGGTGCCCCTTAGGAAGGGGCACTGCTAGAAGCGCCAGCCCCCCTCATGCTGCAGCCGCCTGAGCGCTCTATAGAGAACCTCAGGCAGCTGCAGCACTACCCAGGCCGGCGCATCCATGAGGGCGCACTGGCCCAGGGGCTCAAGATATGAGGGATCAGCAGGAGGGAACGGCACAGCGCTCCCTCCTGCCAGTCCCTCGGTGTAGCGTGGCCGAGCCTTGGTCCGGTCCGCGGCACAGGAACATCCTGTCAGTCTGGCCAGGTACAGGAAACAGAAACTCCTGTACTGCGGACCGGACCGGAGCTCAGCCACGCTACACAGGGTAGGAGGGGGGTGAAGAGAATGGGGGGAGAGACCACTGAGGGAGGGGGTTGGGGGAGAGTCCACCATGGGAGGGGGAGCAGGGGGTGGTGGAGGAGAGACCTTTATGGGAGTAAAGGGGGTTGAGTAGAGTCCACTAAGGGAGGGGGGGGGAGTAAGGAGAGACACCTTGACACACAGAGGCACATACACAGATGTGTGCACACACACAGACACAGAAGCACACTGACATATATATATAAATGCACCCACACACATACAAATACACACACACTCAAACTCATACAAATACCCACACACAAGTGATTTTTTTTATATCTCCAGCCACCCACCTGTTAGCTTACCTTGTCTGTCCAGGAGGGTGGCTTGGAGTCCTGGTCCTGCTGAAGGGAGTGAGGGGTCTGGAGCTCTTCGTGCTCCTCTCCCCTCACACTGCGGCTGACTCCTCTCCCTCCCGCCCCATCTTTCTGCATGACGCTGGGAGAAGTGACAAGCTGTCACTTCCTCCCAGCCAACCGACATTACAGGGGCCCGGTCATGGTCTTAAAGGGGGAAACATTCTGCAGCACACAGCTTGGGAACCACTGGTGTAGTGTATGTGACATCACAGACCTTCACAGTAATGACAGTAATATGTGGTGTGTGAAAGACAACAATACATATATATATATATATATATATAAAACCAAGAGGGCTGCACTCGCCTGAGGCCAGTTCATACAACATACAGTCCAGTCAAGTCTCACAGAATGTAATAGTTTTACACACATTCCTACCTACTATCTACTTCATTCCTACTTGGGTAGGAATGATCTCTTGTTGGACTATGAGTTTGGGTTTAACTTGTCTCCCCGGCCGAACCCCACACAATAAATCACATAATTTGTGCTATATGGATCTTCCTCATTTGCCTACTTTTAGGCTACTTTGTTGAACAATCTCGGAAGAGTTTGTCACAAATATATGATTAATACTCTAAGTTATAACTTAACACCTTGCTGTTCCACTTTTTATCCATTTACCTAATAATCAAAGTAAAATAATCTAGTAGGTTTTACATTTTAATGTAAAAATGTGCTTAAGCAATTTCCTCCCATAGGAGTGAAATAATGCATTGCATGTCTCTTTAACAATATATTCAATTGTGTGATTTTAGTTTTAATAATCAGAGTTTGAAGAAATTACTGTCTTAAAGGGACACCACACAGTTTTCCTATTTTGTAGAGCTTTTAGCTTCCATTAGTCACATTATATCATATTTAAATTAAACCCGTCCTGTGTGTGTGTGTGTGTGTGTGTGTGTGCTTGCTATGCTTGGGGGAGAGCACTAGAACCATCTGTAGATTATCTCTTTGGCTTCCCTCTCTGTAAACATTTTATTCTATGTGTAAATTTGATTGACAAATGAGGGAAAGATATATATAATTTTTTTTAATTATTATTATTATTATTATTTTTAATAAAGGTTTTTCTCTTAAACTATACACATGCTAGCAATTCTGGTAACACAATGTATATATAACATTTTAATTTAAATTGAGCATAAGTAGTGTGTTCCTTGACAGGTACAAAACATCAATATAAGATTTTTTTCAGTGGGTGACTAAATCGTAAATCCCCAGTCGTAGAAGAACAATTAAACATTAAGCTGGCCATATTTTGTAGTTTTATGGATCACACCCCTGTATTATCATTAGGCATATACTAGGAGTATACATGTTCATACTCTGGAATTTGGATCCTAAACAAAAAGGGTTAATCCGATTGAGTTATGGCAGACTTACACAACTTGGCAGTAGAATGGGGCTAAAATTAAAACAGGCTAAACTTCATTGGGCAACAGATAGGGTTTTTAGCACCTCTCTTTGCAAGTAAGGGTATAAAATTACAGATACACACACTGACAGACATGCAGATACACACATACTGACAGATATATACACACACACACTATGACAGACATACAGATACACACACTGACAGATGCACACACACACTATGACAGACATACAGATGCACACACTGATAGATACACACACACACACACACACTATGACAGACATACAGATACACACATACTGACAGATATATACACACACACACTATGACAGACATACAGATACACACACTGACAGATACACACACACACACACTATGACAGACATACAGATACACACATACTGACAGATACACACACACACACACTATGACAGACATACAGATACACACATACTGACAGATATATACACACACACTATGACAGACATACAGATACACACACTGACAGATACACACACACACACACTATGACAGACATACAGATACACACATACTGACAGATATATACACACACACACTATGACAGACATACAGATACACACATACTGACAGATACACACACACACACACTATGACAGACATACAGATACACACATACTGACAGATATATACACACACACACACACACTGACAGTCATTTAGGTACACATGCAGGTTAAAATATATACTTTAAAACCATCCAGTTTTCTATGTTTTGGGTGCTGGCTTATCTGGTGTCCAGTCTGCAGGCAGAGGCTGTTGGAAGTTATGGGCTGGCTCTTGCAGCCTGCAGCCCCTACACGCTTACCTTCTCCTCTGCTCTGTCCTCAGCCGCCTGACCCACTCCTCACTGCCATCCTCCAGTGTCTCAGGTAGGAAATGACAGGCT